AACCCGGCTTTAAGCAAGCATCGTTTGTTAATACGGGCGTTAATAACATTTGGTTTTCCTTGTACCACAGATTCCTTTCCTATACACCTGTATTCTATTGACCGATACGTTTCTGCGATTTTCCGTATCATCTTGTATGTTTGAACGTGTATGCAAATGAGTTGCGTAACATGACCTTGGGATGTTCTGATAACAGGAGAGAGGAGATAGTATAATAATGAAGTAATAATAGACGGTTTTTGTAAGTCAGTGTGTTACAGTGTTAGTATGCTATACATCTGTAATTTACTGTATTACAAACGATGCTTGCTTAAGTGAAGCAGGAAATCGAACGCACAGCGATGGATAGAGCTCTGTGACTATGACGTGACAGAGCATACGGCGGTTATCACACTGCATCACGCGCGCGGACGCGTTGTCAGTGTGAAGTGCTGCGCGTGTTTTCTATACAAACTGAGGTACTTGCATACAATGATTAAATCTGTCGCCCCGCGCTCCGCGGCGGAGCGCGGCGCAGTGTGATAACCGCCTACAAGTCGGAAACACATCTGAAGTCTCGCTGACTTTTGACGTCACAAAAACATTTTTCTTCTGTCAAAATCATCATCAGGTCATTTAGTCTCCACTGATGACCGAGAGAGAAATTCTACATTCCTTATGCTTTCAAGAAAGGCTTTACTGCAGTGGTTCTTAACCTTTAAGTCACGAGGGACCATTTTACCAAATTTCTGTCTTGTCAGGGACCACTTTTTTTTTTAAAAATTCTATGAAAGGGAGGTCGATTTCTCGCCCACTGTGCGCCGATTGCGTTGTATTGACTCGACTCATCACGTCACGTCACTTGTTTATTACGATGTCTCCGTGGATCACTTGGAATGCCTCTAGGGACCACCAGTGGTCCGCGGACCACCGGTTAAGAACCACTGCTTTACTGTATTATTGTGATGATGCGTGTAATATTTTTATCTTTGCTCCAATAATCCATTTCATTTTATTATGCAGTAATATGAAATTACGTAAACGTTTATGCTTTAAACAATTTTAATGAATGCTTTTAAATGCTAATAATATTTCCATTATAAATTCTACTTAAAACGTTATGAATGTGAAAGTTTCACAAACTAAATGTTTGTTTGTCTTTCACGCTTACACCACTGAACCGATTTAGTCCAAATTTGGTTTTAAGAGAGTTTGAGACCTAGGTTAAAACATAGGATAGTTTTTAATTATCACGGTTTTTGGAAGATGGACACGCGCGTTAATGACTTTCTTGTCATCATCATCATTCCAGCCACAGGATGTCCACTGCTGAACATAGGCCTCCCCCAATGATTACCACATCGCCCGGTTGGTACGGGATTCCCACCTCTCGTTCCCACCGCTGCAACTCCTGTGTAGCCAGGATCTACAGCTTGACCGCCAATTAAAAACCAACCAGTGACAGTTAAGTGTCGCTCGGTTGTTAGCGGCCTGCATCCAGCTCGGCGATTCTTTACGAGATCGAATCAGAAATGAGGAGATCCGTAAACGAACTAAAGTTGCTGACATATCCCAACGGATTAGCAAGCTGAAGTGGCAATGGGCAGGCCACAAGACTTTCTGTGACGGCCAAAATTCACGTGGACCAAGTTTCTTACAAAAGCTAGAATATCATCATCATCATTTCAGCCACAGGACGTCCATTGTTGAACATAGACCTCCCCCAATGACTTCCACATCGCGAGGTTGGTAGCGGCCTGCATCCAGCGCCTTCCTGCTACCTTTATCAGGTCGTTGGTCCCAGCTTGAACATACTTGAACATACTGAGACCAAATTTTTACCCGACTGTTTTTTTTTTTATTAAATTACGTATGTACTAACACACTGAACGATGATATATCGGATAAGGCTATTGCAAAAGGAATAGATTACGAAATTTTAAGCGTAACATGAGATAAGTATTGTAAAAATAATATAAGTCCATGCCATAAGTCGATTGTGTTCAGTAGTCTCGCTTCAATAGAAAGAAAGAAATAGACTTTATTGAACATAGTAAGCACAATAACAACACAAAACGAATAAAGAAAATAGTGGGCCACTGTGTCAATAGGCTTCCGCTCAGCATTTATCCTGACATGCTCGTAAGGACATGTCAAGAAACTGGTCTTCCGCGAGAGCCCTTGTTGTGGCTTCGCGCATCCCTTTGGAGAGACATCGACTCGAGTTCGATATCTCTCAAAAGGGGTGAGAATAGAAGTCTATAAATAAAAGTCTATAAAAGTTTGTACTAACTTCTGACATTTGATTCGTTTAAGATTTTTGGCCAGTCGCAAAAGTTTTCATCGCGCAACTCGCAAGCACTATTAAAAATCTTTACTGCTCTGAAAAATTAAGACTACAGACTTTGTAAGGCCGATAGTTTAGTCGGGCTGCTAATCTGTATGAGCAACAAGTATGAAAGTGCGCATTACAACAATTTGGTTTGGTCATACAAAATTGGACGACGACCCGACCGGGTGATAAAAAAAAATGTAGTACTCTTCAGGGACTCTCAAACGACTTGGATGTGAATTTATAAAATAATTGTACTTTTTCCCTTACTTGATGAAATATGTTTTTCCCATACAAACTTTTTTTTATTTCAATCCATTCAATTATTCTTACGACAAGAGGTTTCTTGAGGTCATCTTGAGGTTTTTTTGATTAGAAAACACGGAAAATGTTATTTTAACAAAACAAAAAAATTACTACGAGCCTACCGTTCCATCTTCCACTATGTCCAAAGAAAACAAGATTCCATATTGAAATTGAACGGGCGACCTTGATACAAGTGAGTGGTAACTGCGCGAGCGAGACGCAAACATTACGCGCGCGCGTCAGAGCGGGACGGGTATACCGGCGCGCGCGCAGACCGCAACGTGGTTACCACGCGGCGCCAACTGTCAACGTATTTGAGGTTATTTCTACGCCATTTTGGATGGAAAGACGTGTGATTATTACAACAATGATAGCAGATATCGCATTGTTGAAAATTAGGTGTGTCTTTAGTCTCGAATGATGCAATTCTAATGCTCTTTTATCTTGAAAGTATTGAGTTAAATATAACTTCTAGAAAACCACGTCGCGTGATATTGAAAAGCCTGTTTTCAGTAATACATTTAAAACCAGTCGAAACACTTCCTTAATTTGTAAATGTCACCGTGGTTTTAATTTTTGCAATATTCGCGGAGATAAAAGGTTGATTCGATGGAAATTTTTAAATATCTTTTTTTAGAGAGATATCTTATTTGTTTTAGTTCGGTGAATACAATGTTATTAATAGGTCACAGATTCGAATCCCGCTAGGTCTATTTTTATGTGATAATGAAAGAAAGAAAGAAAGAAAGAAAAATATTTATTCGATGCAAGTAGTAATGCGTTTTTTTTTTGCCCTGATAATAGGCGTAAATGTTTTTTACGAGTTTAAAAAGATATAGGTTTTGTGTTCTTTGTGTTTACGGATATTTTCGTCCACAATGGGTTAATTTAGTAAAGAAGATAATCCTTACTAATATTTTAAATGCGAAAGTAACTCTGTCTGTCTGTCTGTGTCGCTTTTACGCCTAAACCACTGAACCGATTTTGATATAAGACATAGAGATAGTTTGTCCCGAGAAAGGACATAGGATAGTTTTTATCCCGTTTTCTGAAACAGGGACGCGCGCGATAAAGTTTTTCTGAGACAGATAAATAATAGTGTTGAAAATTAAAACATTTGTTTGCAAAAAAGTGAGCCCACTGCAGTTTCTTTTACGAATGGAAATATTTTAAATGATTACCTCGCATTTTTAAGCTTTGGTCATATTTCAACAACGCGCCACACTATCTGTGTCACCAAAATTATAAAATTCTAGACTTTGGAACCCGCATTTAAGTTTTTTAACTATAAATATAAATACTTACTTGTAACTTGTTTATTACACAGCTCAAAAAGCATTGCTTACTGTTTAATTCATATACGAAAAAGTGAATTTGACTAGTGAAAAAGTGTTTTTCTAACGAAAATATTGTTGCTGATTGAAGTGAGGACATTGATGAAGTGAACTAGACTAGTGGATCTAGTTGTGTCAGTGTAATAGAGTATTAAAAACAAATATTAGTGCCTAGCGAAACTATTTATAGCTCTCACTAGTGACCAGGATACATCGGTGAAGTGAACTAAACTAGTGGTGACTAGTCGTGTCAGTGTACTAGTGTAGCCACTAACTATTAGTGACAGTAGCAGACTGGTGAAGTCTCGTAGATTAGTGACTCGTGGCAGTGAACTAGTGTAGCTAACAACCAACTAGTCTACGCAGACTGGCGAGGTGACTTTGACTAGTGGTGACTAGTCGTGTCAGCGTACTAGTGTAGCCAACATCCAACTAGTGACCAGTGTACATTAGTCGCCGTCCCCAACAACAAATTGCAGTGAACTAGTGGAACAATGTCAGCGCACTAGTTGGAAACACTCTGTCATGACAGCCGGCGTCTCGGCGCGACGGAAGACGAGGGCGAGGCGAAGCTGGGCCAGGATTGAACAGGATGGTCAGGTATAAAAGCCTAGGATGAGAAAACAAAGATAAATTTTAACGAATAAACGAATTAATTTGAATTTTCGAGTCTTTCTTGTGCTATTTTGTGTTGTTACCTATATGAAAATGATTTGTGAATTTTTTAATCCTTTTTTATCAACTGCTACTAAGCAGCTTTTGGCTACTTTGTAATTATGTACATGTATAGTCTGGCAAAAAGGAGCGTTAGTATAGTGTCGTTCTCGTTACTATAGAATGATTTTACAATTATTATGTTCAGCTACAATAGGAGTGCAAATTGTACCACTTTCGACGATTCTTATGTTGCTGACTTGCTTTACCTTAAATTATCCCGTAATCTGATTAAAAAGTTCATTGGTTTTAGACCTTAACACAAGGGAATAAGGTGAGGTGACTATGTTACCGTAATAAACAAAACAACTAAAGTGTATCTCCATTGTCCACAGGCGTCCGACTTCACCGACATCGGCGACTGGCCGACGCTAAGCGCGGCGGTGGCCGGCGCCCGTTGCCACTCGACGCCGCCGCCCCAGGAGGCTGATTCGTCGCATCACAACGGAAACGCGGTTAGTAGTTAAACTAGTTGAAATCACTTGACCAGAACTCGTTAGTGACTACAATAACTACACCAACTAGTTATTTATAACCCCTTATCTAGGGACTTGATACAGGATTAAAAGTACTAAAACGGAACTAGTGCCTACAATGCTACATGCACTCACAACTAGTTTGTCCGATGTTACTCGACGCCGCCGCCCCAGGAGGCTGATTCGTCGCATCACAGCGGAAACGCGGTTAGTAGTCAACATTAACTACACCTTTATAACTCAAGACGACAATAGCCGAACGATATCGGCTTCTGGCGGGCTACTCGGACTGGTTGCCATGGTAACCTGTTAAAACCACTTCACTAGTTCTCCAGGGATTTGATGCAGGACTAAAAGTAGTAGAACGCAACTAGTGACTAAACCTTCTCACCAACTAGTTAAAATCACTTGACTAGTTCCCCGAGGACTTCAAATAAACGAACTTATGTCATCACCAACATCGGCGACTGGCCGACGCTAAGTGCGGCGGTGGCCGGCGCCCGTTGCCACTGGACGCCGCTGGCCCAGGAGGCCGACTCGTTGCATCACAACGGAAACGCGGTTAGTAAATACTTAATTTATATCTATAACCTTACAGTAACTACATGAGCTCCCCTGGCTTACCTGGAAGTCTTTAAATAGACTTCGGACGCAGTTTGGCCGTTGTAAGGACAATATGGTCAGATGGGGATTCTTGGATGGCTCAAACATGGAGTGCAGGTGCGGTTTTGTTCCCCAGTCGATGAAGCACATGATGTCATGTCCTGAGTGCCCGAGCAACTGCACTCAGGAGGATTTAATGAATGCTGCTGACAATGCCACTCTTGTAGCGGAGTTTTGAGCTGACACTGTGTAGGTTTGTTGTCGTAAGTCGTAGAAGTAACTAGTTACAACCACTTGACCAAGTCACAAACTTAAACGCAACTAGTGATTAAACCTTTAACACCGACTGGTTAAAATCACTTAACTAGTTCCCTGAGGACTTAAACGAACTTATGTCATCACCGGCGGCGCCCGTTGCCACTGGACGCCGCCGCCCCAGGAGGTCGACTCGTCGCATCACAACGGAAACGCGGTTAGTAGTTAAAGTAGTAAACTATTTAATGCTACTTGACTAGTTCTACAAAAACCTGATTATGACACAGACGCCGCTCGCCCGCCACACCGTCAGTGACTAAATTTTTACACTAAAAACAAGTAAAAGCTTTGACTAATTGTCCAATGTCACTCGAAAGCGCCTACTTCTACTACTAAAATTGAATTTCAGTGACTGTAGACTTCCTCATCATCATCATTTCAGCCATAGAATGTCCACTGCTGAACATAGGCCTCCCCCAATCATTTCCACAATGGCCGGTTTGGTAGCGGCCCGCATCCAGCGCCTTCCTGCTACCTTTATGAGGTCGTCGGTCTACCTCGTGGGTGGACTACCTGTTGACTTGGAAACTTGTGTAGTATCAAAATTACTCAATGCTCTCCCATCTCATTCCAGGACCAGGACCGCAAGCCTCTAGAGGAGCACCACCACCAGCCGCCGCCTAGAACGGAGAAGGTGGAACCAGCTGTCAACCACCAGCCGCACGCCGAGAAACCATACGACAAACACAATGACAAGTCCAAGCCACCGGGTGAGATATTTCTCTATCTATCTCATCATAATTTCGTTGCGGGTCCAATGATAGTTTAACTTTCCCACGGGACAAACTTGACCTTCACTCGTTGGGTTTTTAATTTTTATTGGCGGTCAAGCTGTAGATCCTGGCTACACAGGAGTTGCAGCGGCGGGAACGAGAGGTGGGAATATTCCCGTATCTATATCATGGTCATCTCAGCCATAGGACGTCCACTGCTGAACATAGACCTCCCCCAATGCTTTCCATTTTGCCCGGCTGGTAGTGGCCTGCATCCAGCGCCTTCCTGCTACCTTTATGATGTCGTCGGCCCAACTTGTGGGTGGACGTCCTACGCAGCGTGGAGTGGACTCCAGAACCTTGCTACCCCATCGGCATTTATCTATTTAATCGAAACCGGAAGTCAAACCTTATCTTTAAACTCCTCCTATGTTCTTCTGATTAATTTCATTGCGGGTCCAATGACAGTTTACCTTTCTCCCGGGACAAACTGACCTTCACTGGTTGTTTTTTTATTGGCCGTCAAGCTGTACATCCTGGCTACACAGTATTTTGCTGAAACTACAGACCAGTACAGTTACACGATACGATTGCATTAATGTCAACTAAGTTAGAATAGAAAATCTTTATTTGACACAAAATAAATAACAGACTTAAGTTGCTTCTCTTCATCAAATTTAATTTCATCCGGGCTAAAGCTCGTCGGACTAACCGACTCGTGATCCGAGGAACGCGGGTTCGATTCCCACTCGACTACTGTGGTGAACCCACTCGCAAAACACGCATATTTAGCTTAGCACGAGGTGTTAACGGGATATTAGTAATTTATATTTACAAATTGCTAATCAAATCAAATATATTAAATTTGCGAACATGGGTATTACAAGTAGGTGTTACAAGTATTTTAGTATCTCCATCTTCCACCTTTTGGCATGCAAAATTAAAATTTTTAAATCAATTTACATTTAGTTAAAAAAGTTTTTCACTTAGTTATTCACTTAGATCTGTGGTTCTTAACCTTAAAGTCATGAGGGACCTTTTACCAAATTTCTGTCTTGTCAGGGACCACCTCATAATCGGTCATTACCAGTTTGACTACAAAAATCAGTTAAAAGTGGTTTTGACCAAGGTGTACAAGTGCACTTCGTGGACCACTTGGAATGCTTCAAGGGACCACCAGTGGTCCGCGGACCACCGGTTAAGAACCACTGACTTAGATAATCTATACTTATAATAAATCTGTAGAGAGGTCAATTCTGTACATGAAATATATTTTCAAAATAACTATCAGGGGGTAATTAGTGATCGATACTGATGCCAAAAATGCAATCAGTAAAATTTTTGTCTGTCTGTCTGTCTGTCTGTCTGTCTGTCTGTCTGTCTGTATGTTCCTTATAGAAACAAAAACTACTCGACGGATTTTAACGAAACTTGGCACAATTATTCTTCATACTCCTGGGCAGGTTATAGGATACTTATGAATTCCCACGGGAACGGGAGTTAGCGGGAAAAAACATTTGTATGAAAAAATCTAAACCGCGCAAGTTAGACGCTTAAAATTTGGCATGCAGGTACCTTAGTAAACTTAAAGCTTAGTTACAACAGGATATTGCAAAATTCCCACGGGAACTGGAATTTGCGGGAAATTCCTTTTGTATGACTGACTCACTGACATACCCACGCACAGCCTAAACGGCTAAACGTAGGCACTTGAAATTTATAAGGGACGTAGCTTAGGTACCGTAGAGGTGCACTAAGAAAGGAATACCCGAAATTCCCACAGGAATAGGAATAACCGGGAAAATCCTTTTGTATGAAAAATCTAAACCGCTTAAGTTAGACGCTTGAAATTTGGCATGCAGGTCCCTTAGTAAACTTAAAGCTTAGTTACAACAGGATATTGTGAAATTCCAACGGGAACGGGAGTTAGCGGGAAAAAACATTTGTATGAAAAAATCTAAACCGCGTAAGATAGATGAAGGGGGTAAAACGGGATCCACGCGTACGAAGTCGCGGGCGGCCGCTAGTGTAAAATATAAAAGTTCTTTTTCTTCTCAGGTCCGGGCAAGGGCAGCAGTAAATCCGGCAAGCACAAGTGGGTGCCGCTAGACATTGACGTGAAGGCAGCGCGCCCCGGCAAGCACGCGCCGCCGCACACAGCAAGACCCGAGCATGGTAACTACTGACCTTATAGTAACTAATAATTATAATAACTCACTAATAATAATAGTAACTCACTCGGGAAATCACTCCGAGCATGGTAACTACTGACCTTATAGTAACTAATAATTATAATAACTCACTAATAATAATAGTAACTCACTCGGGAAATCACTCCGAGCATGGTAACTACTGACCTTATAGTAACTAATAATTATAATAACTCGCTAATAATAATAGTTTATCACTCGGGAAATCACTCACTCAGAGCATGGTAACTACTGACTGACCTTATAGTAACTAATAATTATAATAACTCGCTAATAATAATAGTAACTCACTCGGGAAATCACTCACTCCGAGCATGGTAACTACTGACCTTATAGTAACTAATAATTATAATAACTCGCTAATAATAATAGTTTATCACTCGGGAAATCACTCACTCAGAGCATGGTAACTACTGACTGACCTTATAGTAACTAATAATTATAATAACTCGCTAATAATAATAGTAACTCACTCGGGAAATCACTCACTCCGAGCATGGTAACTACTGACCTTATAGTAACTAATAATTATAATAACTCGCTAATAATAATAGTTTATCACTCGGGAAATCACTCACTCAGAGCATGGTAACTACTGACTGACCTTATAGTAACTAATAATTATAATAACTCGCTAATAATAATAGTAACTCACTCGGGAAATCACTCACTCCGAGCATGGTAACTACTGACCTTATAGTAACTAATAATTATAATAACTCGCTAATAATAATAGTTTATCACTCGGGAAATCACTCACTCAGAGCATGGTAACTACTGACTGACCTTATAGTAACTAATAATTATAATAACTCGCTAATAATAATAGTAACTCACTCGGGAAATCACTCACTCAGAGCATGGTAACTACTGACCGTATGTAACTAATAATTATAATAACTCGCTAATAATAATAGTAACTCACTCGGGAAATCACTCACTCAGAGCATGGTAACTACTGACCTTATAGTAACTAATAATAATAATAACAACTCACTCGGGAAATCACTCACTCAGAGCATGGTAACTACTGACCTTATAGTAACTAATAATAATAGTAACTCACTCGGGAAATCACTCACTCACTCTTTTCAGCCATAATACGTCCACTACTGAACCTAGGCCGAATGATATTAATCTTGAGTTATAAATTACTTGGGAAATCACTCACTCATCATCATTTCAGCAATTAGGACGTCCACTGCTTAACATAGGCCTCCCCAATGATATTAATCTTGAGGTATAACTCACTTGGGAAATCACTCACTCAGTCACTCATCATCATTTCAGCCATAGAACGTCCACTGCTGAAAATAGCCAATGATTTCCACCAAGTCACAAAATCACTCACTTAAGTATAAAACCCACTCGCCCAACACACTCTTTGATAATTATTATATTGTTAACGTTGAAATTATAACTCTCTCACTCAAGTATAAAAAAGCTCACCCAATAAGCTCAGTCGCTTTGTGTAAATTCCGGTCGCTGAGCAGATAGAATTTCGTACAATGACCCCAAGCTACCCATCCTTATCGCTCCCGCGTAATTATATTACTGTCGCGCCTGCACACTCACTGCGGCCGCCCGTCGCACAGTCGCGACAGCAGGATAGGTAGCTTTTGGTCATTGGACGAAATTCTATCTGCTCGGCGACCGGACTTTACTAGTAATTCACTCACGCAGAAGTTCCGTCGCCTTATCTAATAACTCACTCACCTAACACACTCATGCCTCATTCACTCAGAACCTCACACACGTACGGACCACTCACCAGAGCGTAACCAGTTCACCGGTCACTCACAACGCAGCACACATCATCATCATAACGGTAATAACTCACCTAATGCAATCAATCCCTATATTTTAAGTGACCCCTATGGTAACATATAATAGCAATTTTGTTTTCATCGGGTCAACTGTCATCCGCTTTGCAATGAAGAGAAGTCGAACCTTAATTTCGAACTCCTATGTTCTTATTAATTTCGTTGCGGGTCCAATGACAGTTTAACTTTCCCCGGGACAAACTTGGCCTTCACTGGTTTGGTTATTGGCGGTCAAGCTGTAGATCCTGGCTACACAGGAGTTGCGGCGGTGGGGGGAACGAGAGGTGGGAACAGTCCCGTTTCATAGGGATCACTTAAAATTAGGGATTGATGGTCAAAATGGACATAAGACTTTCAAACACTCACTCGCTTACTTGACTCGCGACTTACACCGCAGTACACAACTAAGAAAGGACTTCTTACACACTTTCTCAGTTCACGGTTCATGAAATTCAAGAATAAATAAAAAAAAAATTATTTATTGCCTTCGAACCTTTAGAATATTGATGAATACTTTGGAGTATTTAAAATTTCCCGTAATTTAGGCCTCATACCTCTCACCATAGGGATAATGGGTTACGCAATACGGGTACATAATAATTCTTACAAATTAACCGACGCAAATTGTGTGTTTGTGTCTTATTTTGTATGTAACAAGCTTTTATTTAACTTGCAATGAATCTTGCAAGCTGAATCAGACCTTCTTAACAACCGATTGAGCTGAATTTTGGATACATATGTAAAAGTCGCGCAGCGAGAGATGAGGTGATCAACACAAGCAAATATTTGTATCTGTATACGCTCTCCGCGCAGATTTCTTGCGTAGTCGGACTAGAAAGTGTTTTTTGTCTCGCTTCCACAGATAGCTTAGCAAAAGCGAGGCAGCTAGTGTATTCGATATTTGAACTTGAAGCATGAAGTGTGTTCTGTATTCAAATATTACATCAGTGTGAGTTCCATGTTCGCCTCAACTTTCGCTGCGCGAACTATAATTTGGATTACGAAACATAATGACGTCATGGTGATGATCTGATGATGGAGCCAGAAAACCATAGGAACTTTGTGACGACAAGAAACCCTGTCGTGACTGGATTTAATAAATAAAAGCTTGTTTTTAAAGGTTTTTGAATAATATTTATAATGCAATGATGTTTTCTTCGTTTTTCAAGTCGGACACAGTACGTGTTTGCCAGAGAGGAGACGTACGTGGTCTTTTCTATGTAATTATATAAATTATATTCTTATGTAATACTAGCTGACCCGGCGAACTTCGTACCGCCTTAGCGTAGAGATTTTCTTAATTTTTTTTTCCGTAAGAACCATCCTTGGACTTCCACAAACATTAAAAAAAAAGAATTATCGAAATCGGTTCAGCCGTTCACACGTGATGCCGTGACAACGCGAAACGGGTTTCATTTTTATATATATATAGATAGATAAATGTATAAATGTTTACACTAAGGGCTGTGACAATAATTTATTGTTGCAGTTCTTTTTTAATTTCATTAAGAATTAAGATTATTTCACACGTCATTGCATGTTACGATACCTACATACATTTAATATTATGCTGTTGGTTTTTTTTTGCTGAAATATTTGACTGGGACCTTGCATAATAATCGTGCTTTTAATTTAATTAATTAATTTTATTAGGATTATTGCCTTGATCCCATATTGACAAGTTTTCCAGCAAAGAGGGTGTAGTTCAAAATATTGGCGAGTGTGCATCTGTTTCAAAAATTACCATTAGCCATAAGCTCCGCCTGCCATGAGTCTTTGCGTCGAGTATGACTTCTCAAGTGCGCTCTTATGTCCCGAGACGTAATTTTCTGACTCGATATTTAAAGTACGGTCAACGAGAAGCGATACCAAATGTAAACAAACCCAATGTCATGGGTGAACCCGTCTGACTTTGACATATTTTGGCGGGAGAACGAGACATTACGACAAATACACAAGATGGGAAGAGACAGAATATATTGTCGACTCAATAGTCGTATCGACCTTTCGTATCGCTGCTGGTTGGCCGTACTTTAGTTGGTATAATTGATCGAAGATTACGAATGTTACTTTGTCTGTGATAATAAAACACTAACTCGTCACCCCTTCCAGACACGGTATCCCTCAACGGCGAGGACACGAGGGGGCGTGGTTCTACCAGGGGGCGGGGCGGGGTGGCGCGGGGGCGGGGCGCGCGGCGCGGCCGGCCCGCCTCCGCCGCGCCCGTCCCGCCGCACCCGCACCGGCCCGCCTACCACCACGAGTACCACCACGCGGACCTGCAGCAGGTTGGTGGATAGATAGGGACAGGACAGGGAGAAAGAGAAGGAGATATACAAAAGACACGGCCCAATAACGCGGTCTCTTTCAGGCAATCTAGAGGACGAAGACACATAATTACATACACAAAACTCACCCACTCAGTGACACATCTTTGCAGCGCGACTGCGGAAAATATACGGAAACTAGCGCCACACAGTTCATTCCTAACGTGACGCGCCTGTGGCGCTTATAGGAGACCGCAACCTTAGTATTCTTATTCTAATCGTGCGCGCACGCGCAATGCGACGTGACATAACTGAGTCAGTGCCTGAGGCATGGGAGCGACACAGACAGAGCATACTATTCTGAAGTCTCGCTGACTTTTGACGCTCATTTGAAGTCTCACTGACGTTTGATGCTCAAGCCATGGACGTATCTAGCTTCTGCCCTAGGGGCGAGGGGGGAGGACAAGTCATATCTATCTNAGCAAGTCATATCTAGCTTCTGGCCTAGGTGGGTCTCTAGGTCAGCTAGTTTAGTGACTCAGCTCCATCAAAGCGACTCCCACACAGCTGCCTCGGGCACTGCCTCAGTCTCGCTCTACGCGGGGGAGGGGCGGGGCGCGCGGCGCGGCCGGCCCGCCGCACCCGCACCGGCCCGCCTACCACCACGAGTACCACCACGCGGACCTGCAGCAGGTTAGTTAACTACGTACTGAAGAAAGAAACAAAAGAAAGACACATATTTACATACACAACAAGGCAGGAGAGAAAGAGAAGGAGATACAAAAGACACGGCACCATTTAGGCGGTCAGACATCAGCGACAAACGTTCCTTTTAGGTCTGAAAGGGACCACAACAGTACATTTCTATTGTGACGCGCCTACGGCGCTTATAGGGGACCGCAAACGCGCGTGCGCAACGCGACTGCGAGAAATGTACGGAATCAAGCGTCACTAGTAATTGATCGCGGCGCCCATGGGGCGCTATCATCGATTGGGGCGGTGTTGCTATTGTACAGCTACAAATCTAGCTACGGGCGTACTTAGGGGAGCTGGAAGTCGCTAAGAAGGAACTAAGTGCAACATGGGAGCGTCACGGAAGGGGTGTCATTGACATAATTATTATGATGTGACATACAAATAACTGACGTCACAAAAACACCCTCCCACCATAGACTAGCTTCTGGCTTAGAGGGGGGGCAAGTCATATCTGGCTTATGACCTGGGGTGGGGGAGCAAGTCATGTCTAGCTTCTGACCTAGGTGGGTCTCTTTAGGTCAGACAGTTTAGTGACTTAGCTCCATCCAAGCGACTCCCATGCAGCCGCCTCGGGCACTGCCTCAGTCTCGCTAACGGTGGCAGGGCGGAGCTCCATAGGAGCGGCACGGGAGGGGTGACATTGACATATGTGGCAGACTTCTGGCCTGGACAAGTCATATTTAGCTTCTGGCCTAGGGGGTTATAGTTTAGTGACTTGGCTCCATCCAAGCGACTCCCACACAGCTGCCTCGGGCACTGCCTCAGCCTCGCGCGGGGGAGGGGTGGGGTGGCGCGGGGGCGGGGCGCGCGGTAACGAGTCACATCTATCTTCTGACCTAGGGAGGTCAAATTAGGTCAGCTAGTTTAGTGACTCAGCTCCATCCAAGCGACTCCCACACAGCTGCCTCGGGCACTGCCTCAGCCTCGCTCGCGGCTCGAGCAGGGGGCGGGGTGGGGTGGCGCGGGGGCGGGGCGCGCACGGGAAGGGTGTCATTGACACATGTGACATAGCGTACTATTCTGAAGTCTCGCTGACTTTTGACGTCACAAAAACATCCTTTCATACCTCGGGCTATGGGCCAGCTTCAGGCTTAGGTGGGGGGAGATCTAGCGACTCGCCTGGGAGGGCAAGTCATATCTACCTTCTAGCCTAGGGGGGGAGGGGGAGCAAGTCACATCTAGCGTCTGGCCTAGGTGGGTGGGTCTCTTTTAGGTCAGATAGTTTAGTGACTTCGCTCCTTCAAAGCGACTCCCTCGACTGCTTCGGGCAATGTCTCAGTCTCGCTAGCGCAGGCGGTGCGGAGCCCCATAGGAGCGGCACGGGAGGTGTGACATTGACATATGTAACAAACTATACTAATTTGAAGTCTCGCTGACGTAGACCTAGCTTCTGGCCTGGGCAAGTCATATTAAGCTTCTGGCCTAGGGGGTTATAGTTTAGTGACTTGGCTACATCCAAGCGACTCCTATACAGCTGCCTCGGGCACTGCCTCAGTCTCGCTCGCGGGGGAGGGGTGGGGTGGCGCGGGGGCGGGGCGCGCGGCGCGGCCGGCCCGCCTCCGCCGCGCCCGTCCCACCGCACCCTCATCGGCCCGCCTACCACCACGAGTACCACCACGCGGACCTGCAGCAGGTTGGTACACCAGTTACACCACACAGACGGGGACGGGGAGAAAGAGAGGGAGATATACAAAAGACACGGCCCAATAACGCGGTCTCTTTTTGACAACAAAAGACACATTACATACACAACACTCACCCACTTAGTATCTTGACAGCTGCGCTGTCAAAAACGGGAAATATACGGAAACTAGCGCCACACAGTACATTTCTAACGTGACGCGCCTACGGCGCTTCTTATAGGAGACCGCAAACGCGCGTGCGCAACGCGACAGCGAAAAATATACGGAATCTAGCGCCACCAGTAATTGAATGCGGCGCTGTCATTGGTCGGTGTAGCAGCCGCGTAACACTAGCGCCACCTGTGATTGAATGCGGCGCTGTCATTGCTTGACGTAGCGTTGTTATTGTACAGCAATTGTGTCTAGCGCATCCGAGTCAGTGTCTGAGGCATGAGCAACACGGGAGGGGTGACATTGTCATTGTGATGTGATGGAGCATACTATTCTGAAGTCTCGCTGACGTTTGACGCTCATTTGAAGTCTCACTGACGTTTGAAGTCACAAAAACACCCTCCCGCCATGGGCTAGCTTCTGGCTTAGAGGGGTCCTAGACCTGGTAGACCTAGCTGCTGGTCTGGACTAGTCATATTTAGCTTCTGGCCTAGGGGGTTATAGTTTAGTGACTAAGCTCCTTCAAAGCGACTTCTGGGGGTAACGAGTCACATCTATCTTCTGACTTAGGAAGGTCTAATTAGGTCAGACAGTTTAGTGACTTAGCTCCTTCAAAGCGACTCCCTGGCAGTCGCACTGCCTCAGCCTCGCTCCCGGGGGCGGGGTGGGGTGGCGCGGGGGCGGGGCGCGCGCCCGTCCCGCCGCACCCGCACCGGCCCGCCTACCACCACGAGTACCACCACGCGGACCTGCAGCAGGTTGGTGGTAGAGTAGATAGAACGAGACAGGGAAGAAGGAGAAGAGAGATTGTGACGCGCCTACGGCGCTTGAAGTAGATTCAAATTGAGTGCGCGCGCGCAACGCGACAGCGAAAAATATACGAAAACTAGCGCCATCAAAGCAGGTTGGTAGATAGATAAAGCACATGACGGGAAAAGAGAGAGGGAGATATTTAGGCGGTCTTTCCAGAGTGAAAGGGACCATTCAACAGTACATTTCTATTGGGACGCGCCTGCGGCGCTTATAGGAGACCTTTACCTTAGTATTCTTCCAATATAGTGTATTTGGCATCAAAAGACACATAATTACATACAACACAACACTCACCCACTTAGTATCTTGACAGCTACGCTGTCAATAGCTGTCAAGACACTGATCTTTGCAAAGTGATTACGCGACAACGAAAGATATAGGGAAACTAGTGCACCTGTAATTAAACGCAGCGCTGTCATTGGCAGCGGCACGGGAGGGGTGTCATTGACACATGTGACATAGCATACTATTCAAAAGTCTCGCTGACGTTTGACGTCACAAAAACATCCTTTCATACCTCGGGCTATGGGCCAGCTTCAAGCTTAGGTGGGGGGAGATCTAGCGACTCGCCTTGGAGGGCAAGTCATATCTACCTTCTAGCCTAGGGGGGGAGGGGGAGCGAGTCACATCTAGCGTCTGGCCTAGGGGGGGTCCAATTAGGTCAGTTAGCTTAGTGACTTGGCCCCATCCAAGCGACTCCCACACAGCTGCCTCGGGCACTGCCTCAGCCTCGCTCGAGCAGGGGGCGGGGCGGGTGGCGCGGGGGCGGGGCGCGCGGCCGGCCCGCCGCATTCGCACCGGCCCGCCTACCACCACGAGTACCACCACGCGGACCTGCAGCAGGTTGGTGCATAGAGTAGATATAACGAGACAGGGAAGAAGGAGAAGAGAGATGGTGACGCGCCTACGGCGCTTGAAGTAGATTCAAATTGAGTGCGCGCGCGCAACGCGACAGCGAAAAATATACGAAAACTAGTGCCATCAAAGCAAGTTGGTGGACAGATAGAGACAGAACGGGGAGAGAGAGAGGGAGATACAAAAGACACGGCACGATTTAGGCGGTCTTTTCAGAGTGAAAGGGACCATTTAACAGTACATTTCTATTGTGACGCGCCTGCGGCGCTTATAGGAGACCGCATCTTTAGTATTCTTATTCAAAAAGTTGATTTTATAGTGCGCGCGCGCACTACGCGACGTGACATAACTGAGTCAGTGCCAGAGGCATGGGAGCGACACAGACAGAGCATACTTTTCTGAAGTTTCGCTATCGTTTAACGCTCATTTGAAGTCACACTGACGTTTGACGCTGAATCATGGACGTACCTAGCTTCTGCCCTAGGGGGAGGGGGAAGGACAAGTCATATCTAGCTTCTAGCCTAGGGGGGAGGGGGAGCAAGTCACATCTATCTTCTGACCTAGGGAGGTCTAATTAGGTCAGATAGTTTAGTGACTTAGCTCCATCCAAGCAACTCCCGCCGCACCCCCACCGGCCCTTGTACCACCACGACTACCACCACGCGGACCTGCAGCAGGTTGGTGATAGATAGAGACAGGACGGGAAGAAACAGAGGGAGATATACAAAAGATACGACACAATTTAGGCGGTCTTTCCAGAGAGAAAGGGACCATTTAACAGTACATTTCTATTGTGACGCGCCTGCGGCGCTTATAGGTGAGCGCCACTTTAGTATTATTCAAATTACATACACAAGACTCACCCATTCAGTACCATCTTGCAAACATCAGTGTCTTGTACACGACAGCGAAAAATATAAAGAAACTAACGCCACCTATGACAGCGTAGCAATCGCGTTGCTACTGTACAACTACATGTCTAGCGTATAACTGAGCCAGTGTCTCTATGGAAACGGCACGGGCGGGAGACATGAGACATAATGTAACATATGACATGATGACAACTGCCCCCTTTGCGTTTCAGTTTATGTAGGCCAAATACGAATTACCTCTCACAACACTTTCGTAGTCTTTGTGTACCTTCACAAACATCATACCACGTGTCTGAGACTGGCACAAGGTTAAGTTTTTTCGACATAGGTTAGCTGGAAATGTATACTTAATATTTAATTATTAATTTTTTAACCACCATGTTTGTATTTTTTGTTTTTCTCTGGGCACACACATTAGCTGAGTGTGTTGTGTGTCCATGGTATACATATTTTTTATGAATGTGTGTACCTAAATGTGTTCCCTTATCCTTTTTTAGTCATTTTACACATTTTTGGGTACCATTTTGCATGTGGATTTATCAAAATATTTTATTTTTAAACTTTTTTAAATTATTTATTAAAATCATCATCATTTACATTTTATTTAATAGAACTAATATTTAGTAATTTTCCTGTTATGTTTTGATTGATTATATTATTTATTAATATTTAAAACAAAATTTAATTTAATCATAATTATTTGTCATTATATGAAGCATTAATTTATTATAACTATTCATAAAACTTATAACTGAGCGCATTTTTAATCATGCGTGTCTATTTTTACTAGTATTGATTTTTATTATTTAGTATTATGGTTTTATTTATGTATTTAAGTTATTTATCACGACTGGAATCATGGGTATTATTTATTACATAATATGTTGTATTGTACTGCTTATTTTAGGGCAACATTTATATATTTTTATTTACTATTTATTTATTCTCATTTTAGGAGGTGGTTTAATTTGGTACTCAAGGATTATACTCATAATTGTAATTTCCATGGGATTAAGGTGTTTTGTTAAAAGGCTTGATGACATTAGTATTGACATACTTTTTATGATACCAAACCATGTTTCTATGGAGCTACTATAGCCATGTGACGTCACTCTTTTTTGTGATACAAATCCGTGTTCCTATGAAGATCTAGGCATGTGACGTCACTCTTTAATTTGGGACTTTGTAGTTTAAAAGTAATCTTGTGACGTTACAATTTATTAAAATTTTGTTTTTTCATAGCTGCCTCATGAGCGATCTTGGTTAATACTTAAAAGTAAATAACATACAAATACATTAAAAGTATAAGTAGTAAAGTGCCGCTGATGTCATCATTCCTATATTAATTAATTAATATTATTCGACAGCATATCAAGCTATTGTTGTTGCAAAATCGACTCTATTCCAACCACATAAAGTTCAAAATTTAACTTGATATGCCGTCTTATTGTATAAGGGTTCATACTAACGTGGGTTACACTCATTTTCATGGTCCATAACTGGAAATGACGAGAATCCATCCATTGTGCCTTTGGGTCCCTGTAAGATACTATGTTCTACCCTGTAGTATTCAAATACCCTTCAAAATCCTTCCTAAATTATCCTACATTTTAGTTCATTTTAACCGCCTCCTGGTTTAATGGTGAGACCACCTGCTTAAGACCTAGAGCAGGGTTTCCCAATTTTTTTTTGCCAAGGAACCCTAATTGATTATACTTTTCCTAGCGGAACCCCCGTACTACTCCGCCCGCACGCCCTGCCCCTCCCTTGTGCGTAAACAAGTCGGTGCGAGCGAACAACGTCGGTCACGAAACGTGGGATAATATTTTTTACGGAACCCTTGCGGCCTTTCCACGGAACCCCAGGGTTCCGCGGACCACCATTCGGGAACCGCTGACCTAGAGGTTCTGAGTTCGATTCCCAAATCATAAAGCTCCGTCAAAACAAATCTCCCCTAACAAACTTCCTAGGTATACAAGCCTTTCTCAAAACAGTCCCGTAAATGCATCACTCTTTCCCAAAAACCAGATTCTACTCCCTCAAATTACAAAACTCCTTTCATTACAAAGCTCCCCAAAACAAACCTCAATACAAGCCTTTCTCAAATTTCAAATTTCCCCATACATGACTATTCTCACCTCTCGTTCCCACCGCTGCAATTTCTGTGTAGCCAAGTTCCACAGCTTGACGGTCAATAACCCAACCAGAGAGGTTCAAGTTTGTCCCAGGGGGACTTTAAACTGTCATTGGATATAGCGAAGTTTTCTACAATTCCCCATAAAGAAACTCCCCCTAAACCCCCTTTAACTCCTCTTAAACTCCTCCTAAACTTCTCCTAAACCCCCGTAAACCCCCTATAAACCCCTAAAATCCCCAAACCCCTTAATCCCCTAAACCCCCTTAAACTCCCCATAAACCCCCTTAAACTCCCTTAAGCTCCCCATAAACCCCCTTAAACTCCCCCTAAAACCCCTTAAGCTCCCCCTAAACCCCTTAAAATCACCCTCAACCCCCTAAAACTCCCCTAAACCTCCCCCCAAAGGCACGCTCACCTCCCTCTCCTCACTCAGCTGCGGGTGGCGCAGGGCGGCGTGGGTGTCGGCGTCGGCGCAGGCCTGGTCGTCCAGTACGGCATCGGAGCACCCCTGGCGCCGCCGCTCGCCCAGGCGTTCTACTACGGAGCCGCGGCTGCTACAGCCACGCCTTATGGCATGGGGCTTGACCACGCCACGCTGAAAGACCTCATCAAGAAGCAGATGTGAGTATATTTAAGTGACCTTATAGTAACTAATAATTATAATAACTCACTAATAATAATAGTAACTCACTCGGGAAATCACTCCGAGCATGGTAACTACTGACCTTATAGTAACTAATAATTATAATAACTCGCTAATAATAATAGTTTATCACTCGGGAAATCACTCACTCAGAGCATGGTAACTACTGACTGACCTTATAGTAACTAATAATTATAATAACTCGCTAATAATAATAGTAACTCACTCGGGAAATCACTCACTCAGANGTCCAGTACGGCATCGGAGCACCCCTGGCGCCGCCGCTCGCCCAGGCGTTCTACTACGGAGCCGCGGCTGCTACAGCCACGCCTTATGGCATGGGGCTTGACCACGCCACGCTGAAAGACCTCATCAAGAAGCAGATGTGAGTATATTTAAGTCACCACCACCATCAGCAGGTTTTCTAGTCCCTACCACAGGAGCACAGACCCCTCTAAAGACAAATATAAGCTGGATGAAGTCACTAAGTAGTCCAGTACGGCATCGGAGCACCCCTGGCGCCGCCGCTCGCCCAGGCGTTCTACTACGGAGCCGCGGCTGCTACAGCCACGCCTTATGGCATGGGGCTTGACCACGCCACGCTGAAAGACCTCATCAAGAAGCAGATGTGAGTATATTTAAGTTACCATCATCATCAGCAGCTCATTTAGTCTACTGAAGGTACACAGCCCCCTCTAAAGACAAATATAAGCTGGTTGAAGTCGCTACCTACCTCATCAAGAAACAGATGTGAGTATAATTAAGACACCATCATCATCATCAGCTTCCTTAGTGTCTACTGAAAGAACACAGTCCCCTCTAAAGGCAAATATAAGCTGGTTGAAGTCACTAAGTAGTCCAGTACGGCATCGGAGCACCCCTGGCGCCGCCGCTCGCCCAGGCGTTCTACTACGGAGCCGCGGCTGCTACAGCCACGCCTTATGGCATGGGGCTTGACCACGCCACGCTGAAAGACCTCATCAAGAAGCAGATGTGAGTATATTTAAGTTACCATCATCATCAGCAGCTCATTTAGTCTACTGAAGGTACACAGCCCCCTCTAAAGACAAATATAAGCTGGTTGAAGTCGCTACCTACCTCATCAAGAAACAGATGTGAGTATAATTAAGACACCATCATCATCATCAGCTTCCTTAGTGTCTACTGAAAGAACACAGTCCCCTCTAAAGGCAAATAGAAGCTGGTTGAAGTCGCTAAGTAGTCCAGTACGGCATCGGAGCACCCCTGGCGCCGCCGCTCGCCCAGGCGTTCTACTACGGAGCCGCGGCTGCTACAGCCACGCCTTATGGCATGGGGCTTGACCACGCCACTCTGAAAGACCTCATCAAGAAGCAGATGTGAGTATATTTAAGCAACCATCATCATCATCAGCTCCTTTAGTCTCTACTGAAGGCACACAGCCCCCTCTAAAGGCAAATATAAGCTGGTTAAGGTCACTAAGTAGTCCAGTACGGCATCGGAGCACCCCTGGCGCCGCCGCTCGCCCAGGCGTTCTACTACGGAGCCGCGGCTGCTACAGCCACGCCTTACGGCATGGGGCTCGACCACGCTACGCTGAAAGACCTCATCAAGAAGCAGGTGTGAGTATAATAATCATTTAGTCTCCATTTCAGGAACACGAAACTCTAATTTACCAGAGGCAAATGGAGGATTTGTCCTACTCTCCCCACGCTGGCCAGACGGGTTGGGGAGGCCTGATGTTCGCATATTATTGTCCCTTACGCCCGTATTCACAAACGATGCTTGCTTAAGTGAAGCAGCAAATCGAACACACAGCGTTGAATAGAGTTCTGTGATTGTGCGTTCATGCGCACTGTGTGACTTCATAGTAATATTTGTGAATACAGGGCTTCGGGCGTTAGTCGCCTCTTACGATATCCACGGTAAGTGTTCGGCAGATCCGGATCTACAGGGTTTTATTGACTAGATTTTGCACATGTAGGTAGACCTTTAAAAGACCTGGTTAAAAACTATGTTTTCCCGTGTATATTAAACTGTTTGTGTAACGAAATCCATCTAAATATTTCGTGTGCTTTAAGCGAGAAAAGGTAACAGACAGGCAAAAAAGTTACTTTTATTTATAATGTCAATATACGCGTATTTATCAGTATTTTAAAACATTATTTGTTCTTCACAGCGAATACTACTTCAGCCCTGACAACTTGGCGCGCGACTTCTTCCTCCGCCGCAAGATGGCGCCCGACGGTACCATCCCCGTCACTCTCATCGCGTCATTCCACCGCGTGCGGGCGCTGACAGCTGACGTGCAGCTGGTGTTGGACGCCATCCGGGACTCGGACAAGCTGCAGCTGATATCCGGCTTCAAGGTGACTACCGTCAGTTTAACTAGCGACGGAACCATCCCCGTCACTCTCATCGCGTCATTCCACCGCGTGCTGACGTCCAGGTTGTGTTGGACGACATCCGGGACTCGGACAAGCTGCAGCTGATATCCGGCTTCAAGGTGACTACCGTCAGTGTAACTAGCGACGGAACCATCCCCGTCACTCTCATCGCGTCATTCCACCGCGTGCTGACGTCCAGGTTGTGTTGGACGACATCCGGGACTCGGACAAGCTGCAGCTGATATCCGGCTTCAAGGTGACTACCGTCAGTGTAACTAGCGACGGAACCATCCCCGTCACTCTCATCGCGTCATTACATTACATGCTGACGTCCAGCTTGTGTTAGATGCTATCCGGGACTCGGACAAGCTGCAGCTGATATCCGGCTTCAAGGTGACTAACGTCAGTGTGACTAGCGCCGCAATATGGCGCCCGGAACCATCCCCGTCACTCTCATTGTGTCATTCCACCGCGTGCGGGCGCTGACGGCTGACGACTGATACTACAATGTAGTTGTTACTAATAGTAACTACAGATATAGCACATAACTGAGCCGGTTCCTGCGGGACTATTCCCACCTCTCGTTCCCACAGCTGCAACTCCTGTGTAGCCAGGATCTACAACTTTACCGCCAATAAAATCCCAGCCAGTAAAGGTCAGGTTTGTCCCGGGGGAAAGTTAAACTATCATTGGACCCGCAACGAAATTAATCAAAAGACATAGGCGTCTTTCAAGCTGGACTCCAAGCTATATCAAGGTTACGAGGTCTAACAAATAGGACTAGCTTTTCAGCATGATATTCAGCAAGTATGGTGCTGGTAAGCCACGAGGGAATTGCGACCATCTTTACACCATCATGTTTTATCAAAGGAACGTAACTTAAATTCTAAGTTACTCGTTATTCTGTTATCTTCACCTCTTAAATTCTTACCCCCTTACTAATAAAAAGGTACACAGTTGTTGAACACTGTTTTAAAATGACATTTCCATACTAAACGTCACTTTAAAACACTGTTCAACGAGCATGTAAGTTTTATTAGTAAGGGGGTTAACCTTTATTCTTCTCAGTTGTATAAACTTTCAATTATACCACCACCAGGTGCGAACAGCGTTCGAACCAACCAAATGGCCGATCCTGGACATCACCAACCACGAAGACAGCGATAAGGTTGAAAGAAAACCAGATTACAAGCCGAAAGACGCGCCGAATCCCGAATCGGAGACCGAAAAGCCGCATTCCGACTCTGAGCACGCCGAAGCCGAAGTCGTAGCCGAAAAGCCGAACGTTGAGGCCGAAACTTCGATTGAGACTGTTTCGGCTGAGGAGTCAAAAAACGAGGAGTCGAGCATGGAAATGGAAGAGCAGAAGGAAGCGCCGAGTATAGCAGAGAAAGAAATTGAAGAGAGCATACAGAAGGTCGAAGAATTGACGTTGACAACGAGTGAGAAAGTAGAGGTAGGATATTTGTTTCATTTTAATTGATAAAATACATTCTGACTTCTCAGTTTTCGCCATCCATGGTTTACTGGTTTACAACTGGCATAACAAATCCATACATTGTTTTTGAACGTTAAGACAAGGGAATAAAGTTCAAAATATGGTGGGAAATATATTCCCACTGCCGTATAAAAGGTTAAATTTATATGTTTTTTATAACTTGGATTTTTTATTTAAAATATTTTCGTCAATCCAAATGATTAATTGATTTTTTAATTACATTTTTTAGAAGCATAATTTTTTCTAGATATTTTTTTTAAAATTTAAATTGATATAATCATTCTTCGATTTACATACAAAACAATATTTCAACACGTGTTTCAAAACGAGAGCAACGCGAAAACTGTTAGCGACTTGCTCTCTCTGAACTCCAGTGTGTTTAAACTTTAATTATTTTTATTTATTAATTAATTCCAGGAAACTCAGCCAGATCCAGACGCCGTTGAATCGCCGACGGAAGACGACCCGGACAAGAAGAACGATTCCATAGACGACCCGCCGCTGCAGTCCGAAGCCAGCGACGAGAAACCCGGCGAGAAACGGTACGTGACATACTTGGATAGCTTTGGAAAGATAGGGAAGTGACGCACTTGGATAGCTTTGGAAAGATAGGGAAGTGACATACTTGGATAGCTTTGGAAAGATAGGGAAGTGACTCACTTGGATAGCTTTGAAAAGATAGGGAAGTGACGCACTTGGATAGCTTTGGAAAGATAGGGAAGTGACGCACTTGGATAGCTTTGGAAAGATAGGGAAGTGACGCACTTGGATAGGTAGCTGGGGAAAGATAGGGAAGTGACGCACTTGGATAGGTAGCTTTGAAAAGATAGTGAAGTGACATACTTGGATAGCTTTGGAAAGATAGGGAAGTGACACACTTGGATGACGACAGCGATAGCGTTGGAAAATAAGGAATAGTTACAGGTCGCGCAGCGAAAGTTGAGACGAACACGTACTCACATTTATGTAATAGTAGCGGCCGGTTGAAGTCCGGTCACACTTTGATGTCGATAGCGATAGCGTTGGAAAATAAGGAATAGTTACAGGTCGCGCAGCGAAAGTTGAGACGAACACGTACTCACATTTATGTAATAGTAGGGGACGGTTGAAGTCCGGTCACTGAGCACAGAATTTCGTCCAATGACCCCAAGCTACCCATCCTTATCTCTCGCGCGTAATTACATTGCTGTCGCGACTGTGCGACGGGCGGCCGCAGTGAGTGTGCGAACGCGACAGCAATGTAATTACGCGCGAGCGATAAGGATGGGTAGCTTGGGGTCATTGGACGGGATTCTACGTGCTCACGGACCAGGCTTTAGAATAGAGCAACAACCACGAGCTGTCAAATGAAACCTATTTCGGATGACACTTGTGTGTCAGTGTCAGAATTATTTCACTGTTTTGTACAATAGATCAATCACTGAACCAGTCACCGCGTTTCTGAAGCACTATTTCTCATAAACATCCACGATTTCACTCATGTAAAATCTACAAAAATACCAAGAGTCCACAGCGTGCCAATAAGTGCTAATATAAAAACTCAAATTGTTGCAAAAAACGGTTTAGTTACGTCGCATCTCGCATCACTATTTATCACACAGTATTGCTGCTAGTTACATCTCGCTCGCTCAGTCCTTTGTTGCTCTATTCCGCTAGGTATATTACCTTTATGAGGGACACGTAACATACCTACTTGTTATACAACCTAGTCGTGTTAACTGCGCACCTGGTGGCTGTGCGTCACATCGCCGATCATGATGTGTGCGAGGATATGCGATGAGATCAGCGAGGTACGCAGTTAGCGCGGGTTGTCAGTCGCGCAACGAAAATTTAGACGAACACGTACTCACATGTAATATTTGAATACAAAACACAATCAATTCAAGTTCAAATGTCTAATACACTAAGCTATCCCGCTCTTGCTAAAACTGTGTAAGCGAGACAGAAAGCACTTGTCAGTCTGACCACGCAAAACGTCAGCGAATACAGATACAAACTTTAGCTGGTGTTGATCGCCTGTACTCTCGTTGCGCGACCAACACACGACTTCTTTTTTCTTTTTCAAATCTAATCTAATTTATTAATGAGAATGTAGGTAAAAATTAAAATTAAATCATCTTATTTTTTGTGTAAACACCTCGATGTTCGTACTTGTGAAGCAACCATCATCACTGGTACAGTAAAGCGAGGTGAGAGAAACGCGCCTGAACCGAACTGCATGCGTTTGTACGCTCTGCGGATCATAGAAGTCGCTACAAGATTATAAATAAGGCATATTTCCCATATTCATATGTATAGCATCTTAAATTATCTCATCATCTGAGTTGAATCGAGAAACTTATAAGGTGTACTTAGCTCTTCAAGTACGGTCAACAGCACGTCAACGTAAACACTGTGGTATCTTACGTAGTTGCGATAGGGGCGACTTTGCAACGAAAATGTATAGCTTGATGTGCTGTCGACTGTACCAGCAAAATAGAATTTTCAAAGTGGTTTCATGGTATCACTTGGGGTTACACGAGTTAATATATTCCCTATCAAACAAGTTTTTCGGAAGGTAAATATTGTACACTAAGCTTTTGATAATAAATATCAATGACTTATTTGGTCGATTGTGTGTAAGCGAGTTGATAAATGAGTACTTGTATAGTTTAATGGTTTTAGAAATATTATTCAGGTGGATCTCAAATAGATTATGTAAAATGTGAAACAGTTATTTAATGTTCAAGGTGTTTACTTCTTTAAGTAAATGAATCAAAACGCTCGTATTCACACACAATGCTTGCTTAAATGAAGCAGCAAATCGAACGTATAGCGTTGAATAGAGCTCTGTCATTGGTTTGCGTGTCACCCTGTGCGTCCACTGTGAGACCTCATAATAATGTTTTAGGCCAGTAGAATTAAACACAAAAATTGATTAAATCGGAAATAATTCCTACAAAAGATTTTTTTGCTTTAATGGCTTCATTGGTTGCCCATTAAGACTCTCCTAAGTTTTCGACTTCGACGGAGTTGTGCTTAAGTGGTGGGGGCCCCCGAAAGGGGCGTTTTTTCGGTTTTCCGGTTATACCGCGTAAAGGACTTACCCTATCGAAAAGTGGTCTTCATGACGGTTAAAGGGCACTTAATCCTGCATTGAATAAGACCAAATTCATATGTTTTGGACAAACCGTTCTCGCGCTAAAGTTCGGCAAAGTAGAAAATATACGTATAATTAATGACCCTCTCCACGTCCAATGGTTTGTTACCCACAGGCTTCCAAGTCTTGAAAAGGGCCACCTCAACCAGTGTAACCCTATCAAGGCTTACGAGCTTGATGCGCCTATCCTTGTTCGTCCCAGCCGTTCCTTAACTGCGGTTGCTGCACCTCTTCCTGACACTCTCCTGAACGACTCTGTGTTACCTAATGTGGCTGCCTCTCTTCCTTGTACCCTCCTGTACGATTGCATTGCTTAGCTATATGCCTGGTCCAAGGTTCGACGCCACAAAATCAACTTTGTACGCGTGAAAATAGTTTAAATACTATTTTCCGTGCTTGCAACATTTTTCTTTACTGCTTCGCCTCTATTAGTCGTAGAGTGATTGTATATATCCTATAGCCTTCCTCAATGTATGAGCTATTCAACACAAAAATAATTATTTCAATCAAACTAGTAATTCTTAAGATTAGCGCGTTCAAACAAACAAACAAAAAACTCTTCAGCGTTTTAATATGAACTTGTTGTTGTTGATTTTTGGCGTCGAACCTTAGACCAGGCATACGGCTAGGCAACGTAGTCATGCAGGAGGATGCAAGGAAGAGGGGCAGCCACAGTAGGTAACACAGAGTCGTTCAGGTGAGCGCCAGGAAGAGGTGCAGCAACCGCAGTTAAGGAACGGCTGGGACGAACAAGGATAGGCGCATCAAGTTCGTAAGACTTGATAGGGTTACACTGGTTGAGGTGGCATTTTTCAAGACTTGGAAGCCTGTGGGTAACAAACCATTGGACGTGGAGAGGGTCATTAATTATACGTATATTTTCTACTTTGCCGAACATTAGCTCGAGAACGGTTTGTCCAAAACATATGAATTTGGTCTTATTCAATGCAGGATTAAGTGCCCTTCAACCGTCATGAAGACCACTTTTTGATAGGGTAAGTCCTTTACGCGGTATAACCGGAAAACCGAAAAAAGCCTCTTTCGGGGGCCCCCACCACTTTAGCACAACTCCGTCGAAGTCGAAAACTTAGGAGAGTCTTAATGGGCAACCAATGAAGCCATTAAAACAATAAAATCTTTTGTAGGAATTATTTCCGATTTAAAAGCTAATTCTACTGGACTATTTGTGAATACGGGCGAAAATAAATTGAGTTATAATCAATTTTGTTACGCGATCATAACCTTCATTTATTATGTACTTCTTATTAAAATTTCTGTCAATCTTAAGTTGTAGTGTCAAATCTTTAAAATTGCTAATATCATGTTGGTATGCCCGGCAGACGCAGGAAGCAAATGGTGGGCATATTCCCTCTCGCCACGATGGGCGGGCCGCTCGTCGCGCCTGTGTCGAGCCTTCTGAAGGCAGTGCCGCCGCCGCCCTTGCCCAGGTATGTGACGTCACTGTGTGCTGCCAGCCGTCCATGTAACCCGTTGTACTAGGTGACAGACAAACGCAGCCACGCGATGCGACCCGGTACAAAACTATCGTTTTGTCCTAGCCAGTAAACCTATTAATTTTGGAGATAGACATTTTTGTTTCTCGGTAATAACTACGAGTAACCGACACTGCACTGCTCTTAACAGTTCTCCTTTTTACTATGTTCTTCTGATTAATTTTCCCTGGATAAATTTTGTCTTCATTGGTTGAGTTTATATCAGCGGTTAAGCTAACGGCCTACCTATGCAGCCGTTGCAAAGTAATGATCTTACTAAGGTTAGAAGCGAGCTTGATCGGAAATCTCAAATCACTTTCAACTAATGAGGTCTATCGTTTTTATACTTAACAGTTGGCACCCCTGGCGATTGACAGGACCTTACTCTACAGTGGCGCCATCTTGATGAGTGCAAATGCGATAGTCCTCCTACCACTTTAGCGCTCACCAGTTGGTGCCACTGTCTTCGCTACTAGCAAGTGACAGGACCTTACTCTACAGTGGCGCTAAACGATAGCCCTCATTCTTTTAACATTAATAATTACTTTATTTTTTACTTATTTTTTACACCATACGGCCGACTTTGAGTCGGCCGTTTGGTGTAGTGGTTCAGAACGGACTACTATGCCGAGAGGTCCCGGGTTCGATTCCCGGCCGGACAGAAATTGAAATGATGAATTTTAATTTCTGTGACGGGTCTGGGTGTGACTATGTATAATATTTATGTATTTAAAAAAAAAGTATATACAGTCGTGGTCAACTAATTAGGGACGTTATATGACTAAAACATAAGATCGTCTCTCCAGTCCGAAAAAAAATCTTCACGAGGCTTTGTAGCTTGTGCCTATTAATAACAAATAATTTGGCTAGTATTCTAAATATTTAAAGGCCATAAAAGAAACTAGCTAGTTGCGATCAATATTTTAAAAATAAATAAATCATTGCCACCTACACATTTATTGACCTAGGGATGGACAACTAATTAGGGACACGTAACACTTTCACTGTAAATGTAAATAAATTGGTAATTATTTATGTGTTTATTACATAAAAAGCTTTCATTAATAAATATAGAATACAAAACAAAATCATCAAAACGTATTTTTAAAACCAATATGGTTGGTTTTGTTGGTTATAACCATTTGACATCGACGCGACATCGATGCAATCAAATCATTAAAGGTTTCTAAAGAAATATTATTCAAAACACCTTGAAATGCCACGAAAAGCAGATTTTTAGTGCCAGTATGTTGAGCAGCAATTTTTTCCGTCGTTTCATACCATAAGCTCTATATAGGGCTTAAGTCCGAGTTGTTTTCGGATCAATCTAGTACTGTCACTGACTGTTGCGCTAGGAACGATTAAACAGAGTACGCGGTATGTTTTGGGTCGTTATCGTGTTGAAATGTTCATGAGACTGGTAAGACTTCTTCAGCATACGATAGCATCGTTTTCGCCAATATTTATTTGTATTGGAATTGCTCAAGTTTAACTTCAGTTGTTTTTATAGGTCACACTCTATGTCCAGAAAAATAGCCCCAGATTTTAATATTGCCGCCACTATGTTTCACCTGCTTCTTCGTTTACTTTGGTATAATTTCCGACTTTACAGGTCGTCGCACGTATTGTCTGCCATCGGATGAAATAAGATTTATCTTGGTCTCATCAGAAAACAGCACATTTATCCATTGAGCAAAAGCCTAATATCCATACTTTCTTGCAAACGCCAATCTTACTTCTTTGTGTTCCATCTTCAGTAGTGGAACTTTTCTAGGAACTCTTCTTACAAGCTTTGCCTCCACCAGTCGCCTTCTGATGGTCCCCGCAGATACTCCAGCAGTCGGTTCTGGTCCAAAAACCTCGCTCTTGATCAGAACGGAATCCCTAAAGGAGTCTCTCTTTGCGAGAGTGACCATTCTGCGATCATCTTGTGGGGTTGTTTTTATTGGCCTCTTCCTTCTAGGCACACTTTCTGTGGTTTCATGACTTTGAAATAAGCCACTGCATGGTAGATTCATGTTTTTGAAACATTTCAGATGATCTGCAATTTACCGGTATGGCCATCCACGCTGATAAAGATCGATTATAACTAAGCGCATTGTTGCTTTTCCTTCAGCCCATTACCTTTAATTATTTGATGCGTTTTTAACTCGCAAGATAAGAATATCGCTTTTCAAATTGACGCCAAAATTATAAATGAACAGAATAAAAGTTATTACTTTTTATTTTTTTAATTTAGAAGGAAAAACTTAAGCGTCCCTAATTAGGTGGCCAGACCGTCCGTACCATAATTACCGATTCATGTGATTTGATTAAGATTTTTTATTAAGTTAGTAAGTTTTTTTTGTTGTTATTGTATTCTGTTAACTAGAGTACTTGATAGTCAATATGTTTACAAAGTAACAGTCAGTAATATCGAATGAAGCTTACAATAATAGGATATGAACACTTAATATTGCTTAGTATTCTATCTGTCCCTAATTAGTTGACCACGACTGTATATAAGTAGTATATCTGTTAAGCTAGCACCCATAACACAAGCATTAAGTTGCTTACTTTGGGGCTAGCTGGCGCTGTGTGAAATTGTCCAAAGATTTATTTATTTATTTATTTATTATTATTATTTATTTACGTATATGCCATGATTGATATCTGCGGAGTCGCTGCTAGCCGATCCAGTGCTTAAAAACGTACCCAACCAACACCGACTCTATAATTATCATATTTTGTTACAAAAACTTACTTTTATTAATAATGTTTGTGTTTCCGCAGAATGTTCCGCACGGGCCGCCTGGCGGCGCCTGCGCACGACCATCTGAACCCGGACGTGCCCGAGTTTGTGCCGCTCTCGCGTCGGCAAGGTACGTTAATATCTTATACTAAAAATACGTCATCATCATCAGCAGCAGCCTTTAGAAGTCCACGTCCAAAGTCGTCAAATATTTTGCTTTTAAGGAGCCCCTCTACATGTCTCATAATCTTTTTACCCTACCAGCGCTTCGAGACCAACATTTGGCAAGTGCTGAGAAGAACAAAATTTGTTACGGCGCTTCTTCGCTCGTTCTTGAACTCGTTTGTTGAACAAACTAGTCCAATCTTTTGTAAGAGTAAATATTAAATATTGGACACGTACATTTTTATTTGTCAAACAAACAATTGAATGAAGCCACGATAGCCGAACGGTGAAGGGGTCGGACTGGCTGACTCGCGACACCGCGATTCGAGCACGAGGGGCTAACGGGACTACTAATATTATTTAAAAAAAATGAAGTTATTTGGTGTTGAAGTTCCGCGTGACGTCAAGCCGTGCTACACGTAGTGGCGTCACAAGCTCCTACTTTGAGCTTTGAGCTTTGGTGCGCTTTGTAATCTCTGTCAATTTTCATTGTAATATCTGTCGTAAGTTAACTGATGAACTATCACTTAATTGAGTGAGCGCCTGAGGTATGGGTGCGGCACGGGAGGCTGTTTTTGTTACGTCAAATGTCAGTGAGACTTCAGGTTTGTATGCTCTGTCACGTCATAATATGTCAAAATCACCTCTCCCGTGCCCCACAGGTTGAAAAACATCCCTCTGTATTGTGTCACATTGTGTCTATTTACTCATTATTTATTATATCTTGTCAACAGAAGAGCCGAGTGAAAAGTCCTCCCTGGATGAGAGGTCCGTGTCCATTGGCAGCCCCGATTCGGAAAGAAGTGCCAGCGATGTTTGGACAGAAGTAAGAATTTGAACTAAGCATTGGGGTACTTACTTCTATCATTTACGATCTTGTTGTTGGAAAAAATATAAAGAAAGAAAGAAAGAAAGAAACATTTATTGCATGGACATCACAAAATACAAAAGATGTAAATAAAAAAAGCAAATAAGACAGAGGTGACATAAAACATACAATGGAAGAGAAAGTAAACTGAGCAGTGCCACCCTGTCGCACAGCGATGCCCATCGCAATGGGACCCCACTCAGCATATGCCGTGGCCCCCGGTGAGGGAGGCCACGACCCTGGTTTTCAGTGTGCCCCATACCGAGTGGGAGTCACGGACACTAACCTATACTGCATAAAATATACATACATAAATAATAATAATAGAATAAATAATAATAGATAATATGAGTCACAGATGTTTAAAAAATAAAATTAACAAAATTAAAAAGTCAGCGCTTTTACACCGGCCCAGTATTATACAGGGTGTGGTTGTGTAAAACAACGTCCATCTCAAGGGTGTCACGACACTGATGCCAAAAAAATAAAGGCAAGCTATCGGTCAGTCCCGCGGCCGCATGTGCTCGGTGGAGTATCGGGGCACGCGGGGGTGGTGCGGGCGGTAACAAGCGCCGCCTCTAAAGTTTTAGGAGACGTTTGAACAAGGTTTTTTACTAATAAAGTACTTAAGGCTTGGTATTTCTGCTAAAGTAGATATTTCGCGCTGTCAAAATCTGCGCGCGCAATACTTCGCCGAAGACAGCGCGCCAAAGAGCTCTCGCGGCTACACAGTATAGAAATATGCAGTTTAGAAATACGCAGTTGGTTAGGTTAGGTTGACTTCCTTCCGTTCAAGCGTCACACTCATAGCACTTTCTAATACAAATCATATCCAAGTGATACAAATTAAAACAACTTTCAAAATTTTTGGGAATATATTTTAGAATCGAATAAATATAGAATATAACTGCCAAAGTAAACACGGTTCAAAGAGGCGTGGCGTCACCCGACCTTCCGGAAGTTCCGCGGCGGCTAAAAGAATTTCAAGATTACGTCACCCGACCTATCGGTAGATCCTCGGGAGCTTGAGCGATTGGAAAAACATTTTATGATCAGTTACTCGTAGTAGCGATTATTTAGAGCTTGGATAATAAATTATAGTTGTTGCAATTCACAAAGACACTGTTTATCTCTTCTGCGCATACCAGTCGTTTCAAGTCACTCCAAAAATCCATTGGTGTCAGGTCCGAGGATCGTGGTGGCCAAGCTACTGGACCCCTCGTCCAATCCACTGTTCACTAAACGTATTATTCGCGCACTTGACGTCCTTATTGTGGGGGAGCACCATCCTGCTGGTAGTAGAGCATTTGGTGTAACGCTAAGGGTACGTCATCAAGCATTTCGTCTAAGACGTCTTGCAGACACTCCAAGCACCATTTTGATTAAATTATTCGTTGTTTGAATACGCTTCAGACATTTTTGTATTATTTATAACGTGATTTGTGATTGATGGATTTCTCCGTTTTTTACAAGTGTCAAAAAGACATTTTAAAGACAATAGATTGCAATAGATATTTAAAAATACAATAAAAAGTAAAAAAGTCTCCATCGCCATCGCCAACAAGTGATGTGCATGCGTTACGATAAATTAGTGGTGTGTTTAACAGATTGTCGATAAAATAAAATAATCAAGATTTAAAAAAAAAATTTTCGGGCATTATTTTTTTACGGATTTGTGTTCAGTATCAGTAATATAGTAACCTCTGTAAATATGGCAAGAATGCAAAGTAACACCCTGTGTATAACGTATGTACGGGGCTCTGTATCGAAAATCACTATGAGCAAATAAGCATCACACACGGTTAACTGGAGTGCATTACCGCAGCAAAAAGCTTGCCATCTTAAATGAACGGTATAATATCGAGGTTTCGTCAGTACAGTTGCGAACAAAGGTGTTTGTGTAGTGTAGTTGAGTTGAGAGGTCAGATTATTGAAATAATAAAACAAACATTTTATTTTTTAAATACATTTTAAAAATAATTTACATTACAGATAACAATGAGAGGATGACATTGCAAGGTGGTGCCAGTCCAGTCTTAAATCCGTTGATATATGCTGCATCTGCCATGTTTTTGGCTAAAAGATTCTTCTATCTTGCAGTTTAGACTTTTATTACAGACCTCAGACAGTATTTTTGGAAAACTTTTACGCATGGTGGAGGAAGGGACGCTCTAGAGACTCTAGTTTAGAAGGAGTCACATGAGCTCCAAGTTTTAAATCCGTTGACATCTGCTGCATCTGCCATCTTTTTGGCTAGAAGATTCTTCTATCTTACGGCTTAGACCTTTAGCTACTGACCTTAGACAGTCATCATCATCATCATCATCATCATTTCAGCCACAGGACGTCCACTGCTGAACATAGGCCTCCCCCAATGCTTTCCATGTTGATCGATTGGTAGCGGCCTGCGTCCAGCGCTTCCCTGCTACCTTTACGATGTCGTCGGTCCACCTTGTAGGTGGACGTCCCACGCACGCAAGGGCAGGGCACCTTAGACAGTATTTTTGTGAAAATTCTTACGCATGGTGGAGGAAGGGACGCTCTAGGANAAAATGTTAAAGTTTGTTAGATATGACTACTTATAGGTTTTAAAGAGTCATACTAATAGAAGCTAATACAGTAACAACTTTGTCCCAGTGCGTCCCCGTTTAGGATATAAGTGATATTTTCTAAGGTACGAAAAAGTAAACAAAATATATGGATATAAGGCAACTTTATCATAATTTATTGATTTTCTAAAATAAAAAGAAGCTAACAATCATTCCAATCTTAATCATTTATTATTCAACATCATCATCAACATCTATAAATTCAAAAGTTTCATCATTATTTGAAGCTAGTCAATTTTTAACTTCATTAGGAAGAGGAGATTTTGACTCACACTCATTTTTGGTCTTATTGTTGACAAAAAAGGATCCGAAGAAATTTACGCGTATGATTCTCTCTGATATTTCTAAAATCTTTATTCCGCGATTCTGTAGCTTCTTCCGATAGTGCTCCTATTGGCATAATATCTAAGTGCAAAGCAAAACCAACTGACATGAATCATTTAACAAAATTAAAACAAAGATCTTTAAATATCGATATGTACAAGTATGGCCTATCTTCATTGCACGCATGGATACGGGCTATGGAGACTATATTACACATTACTTATAGACTAGAATTTAAAACTTGGACAGCAAGAGGAAATAAAAAAGCAAATATTATGGAGAAACGAAAAGCTGAAATACAAAAACGGTTTCGCGATGAAACTGGATTGCTAATAGATATTGTGCAGCAAGGGGCTGGAACAACAAACAACGGAAATACTGCGCGTAGATTTTTTGCAGATCCAGAAAAAATATCCAACATCACTGGAGTTAGTCAAGATCTGATTCCTAGGTTGTCTGTATTATTAAGGGCTATGGCTTCCGGTGAGCAAATAAACCCCCAAAACTTCACTCAATTTACTTAGATATTATGCCAATAGGAGCACTATCGGAAGAAGTTGCAGAATCGCGGAATAAAGATCAGAGAGAATCATACGCGTAAATTTAACCGAAAAGTGACCAATCGTGATATTTTAAATAATTTACTTATTTCTTCGGATCCTTTTTTGTCAACAATTAGACCAAAAATGAATGTGAGTCAAAATCTCCTCTTCCTAATGAAGTTAAAAATTTACTAGCTTCAAATAATGATGAAACTTTTGAATTTATAGATGTTGATGATGATGTTGAATAATAAATGATTAAGATTGGAATGATTGTTAGCTTCTTTTTATTTTAGAAAATCAATAAATTATCATAAAGTTGCCTTATATCCATATATTTTGTTTACTTTTTCGTACCTTAGAAAATATCACTTATATCCTAAACGGGGACGCACTGGGACAAAGTTGTTACTGTATTAGCTTCTATTAGTATGACTCTTTAAAACCTATAAGTAGTCATATCTAACAAACTTTAACATTTTGAATAAGAGCCTCGTGAAGGAAACGTTTCATACAAATAAAACACAAAACATGTAATATAGCAGAAACTACGCATTTCTCAGAAAAATATAACTTAAACAAAACGTTTTTTATGACATTCTACACATGATACCATCGAAAAAAGTGAATAAATCGCTAATTCCATTTTTATCATTTCTTGAACCAGTGTGCGACGCTGTGTAGGTTTGTTGTCGACACGACAAGAATAATAATTTTATTTGTATTTTTCTTGTAATTACTTTCATGTGTACTACCACCCATGAGATGGGCGTTGTTTTACAAAACCACACCCTGTATAAATATTCAAAAAATACTTGTTATACCTATTGTCAGTTCAAATTTTTGTTTATGAAACACTGGTAAAAAGCATAACTCATGAATCCTAAAAAAATCTCATAAAACTAATTTATTTCTGTAAATAGGCTTTAAAAAAGCACTTTTACACATCCCAGTATTAACCCTACCACTGCTTCAGGACAATAAATGGGCCAGTGCTGAGAAGAAGCAACTATAATTGCACGAATGAGGGTTTTCGCGAATGAAAGATCCGCTAGATGGCGGGACGTGGATGTGGGGTCTGACTGCTGCGTGATTGGTGGATTTTGACATATCTGTCAATGTCATGTCAAAAATGACCAATCATGCAGCATTTGGACCTCGCGTCTACGTATTGCCATCTGGCGGATTTTTCATTCGCGAAAACCGTAATTGATTGTTGATCGTCTGTTCCTCCAGGTGAAAAGGCGCACAAAAGCGGGATCCCGCGAGAGAGCGCCGCCGCCGCCGCCCGAAGACGAGCCGCGTGAAGAACTCCATTTCCAGCTAGACGAGGAGCTGGACCTGCCGCCTCCGAGGCACAACACCTTCACCGACGCCTGGTGAGTACCTATCGCCTGGTCAGTAGGGCCTGATGTCTGGTCAGTAGTACCTGACGCCTGGTCAGTAGTACTCGACGCCTGGTCAGTTATAAAAGGCGCACAAAGGCGAGGTCCCGCGAAGAACTCCATTTCCAGCTAGACGAGGAGCTGGACCTGCCGCCTCCGAGGCACAACACCTTCACCGACGCCTGGTGAGTACCATTCCCACCTCTCGTTCCCACCGCTGCAACTCCTGGTGTAGCCAGCTTCTCTGCAACGAAATTAATCAGAAGAAAATAGGCCGCTGCCTGGTCAGAAGTACCTAATGAATGGTCAGTAGTACCTGACGCCTGGTCAGTAGTACCTGACGCCCGGTCAGTAGTACTTGACGCCTGGTCAGTTATAAAAGGCGCACAAAAGCGGGATCCCGCGAGAGGGCGCCGCCGCCGCCGCCCGAAGACGAGCCGCGCGAGGAACTCCACTTCCAGCTAGACGAGGAGCTGGACCTGCCGCCTCCGAGGCACAACACCTTCACCGACGCCTGGTAATACTACTCTTCTTATGCTCGTTTTCACTATCAATCCCTAATTTTTGAGTGACCCCTTGAAAACAAAATTCCTGTTATGGATTAACATCAATCCCTAATTTTTAAAAGTCACTTAAAAATTAGGGATTGATGTTAGCTTAGTTTAGTTGGGCAGTTATTAAGTATGAACGAACATGTATGGAAGTGCGCGCACTACCAGGCCTGTTCATCTCCGCGAGTTTACATCGAAAACAAAACACGCACGATGGCCCACCTACAGGATACTATTCGACAAGGCCTCACATACGAGCGAACATTGACTCACGCACGCGTATTCTTGTGTATGATGGAAGAAAATAACGAAAATGGTGTACTAAATACTGTGCAGTATTTAACTGCCTAAATAATAATAAAAACACAGAATGTACTTTTTTAAGTTGCCTCAAGACACTGAGAGGTAAATAAGTAGTTAATATTATTCATGATAATTCATGCTAAATCATGTATGTCCTCCGCCATTTTCCGCAGTTTGGCACCTCACGTCACATCATTTTACCGAAGTCAGCCCTATAGCTTCGGCGCAGAGCCGATCACTGACGTTTGTCAACAAAATGGTGCTTGACTCTTGAGACAGGCTAAATTACACAATATTGTTAATGACATTGAGCATACATTTTTTTAAATACCTTCGCGAAGTAAAACTTCTGTACGTAGTACTTATTATTATTCTGTGGCACTACACCGATTTGGCTGCGTAGACTGCTGTAGGCGGTTCCCTGCATTCTTGTACCAAACTAACCACCAAGAGGCCAACATGTCGAGACATCGTAAAGCCGACATGCTAATGGCGAGGTCTCCAGCGCGTGTTTTGCCCTACACAATCAACAAAAACATCAACATTCAATAACATTGCCTACAAAAATGTTGAATGTTGACATCAACAATCCACACTCCTGTATGGCCTGTGTCGGAATGCGCAGGCGTCTTGTATTAAGCATACTTTATATCTACCCAAGCACCATTACGTATGTTTTATTAACTTTTATGTTACTAAAGCCCGGTCTGTGAGCACGTAGAATTTTGTCCAATGACCCCAAGCTACCCATCCTTATCGCTCGCGCGTAATTATATTGCTGTCGCGACTGTGCGACGGGCGCCCGCAGTGAGTGTGCAAGCGCGACAGCAACATAATTACGCGCGAGGGATAAGGATGGGTAGCTTGGGGTTATTGGACAAAATTCTACGTGCTCGCAGATCAGACTACAATGTTATTTATCTAGGTCCTTATATTCCACCAGGTCGGACGAAGAATCAGACATGGAGTTCACCGATCGCGACGTCGGCAGACTGCTGATCGTGACGCAGGCCGGCGCGCGCGCGCCCAAGCACGACGGCCACGACCGCCAGGGCGACTGGACCACGCGCACTAAGATCACACAGGACTTGGAACAGGTGAGCGAGAGTGACTCTTATTGCGATGGCAATAGAGGCGACTATAGCATGACACACGACCGCCAGGGCGACTGGACCACGCGCACTAAGATCACACAGGACTTGGAACAGGTGAGCGAGAGTGACTCTTATTGCGATGGCAATTAGTGAGTTAGAGAGAGAGGCAGCAGAAGCGACTATAGCATGACACACGACCGCCAGGGCGACTGGACCACGCGCACTAAGATCACACAGGACTTGGAACAGGTGGGTCATCATCAGGTCATTGCAGGAGCAGAAAACTCTAATTTACCTGAGGCTTGACTACGAACGGACAAAATAAAGTGACTGGACTACACGCACTAAGATTACACAGGACTTAGAATAGGTAGACAGCTGTCAGCTCATTTAGTTTCCAATACAGGAGGACTGCTATGGTCCATCACTATCAGGTCATTTAGGCTCCGCTGCAGGAGCAAGACCATCAGGCTGGTTTTAGTGTCACGCGGACTGTCAGTGCGGATCGCTCCGCACAGCCGATCTGTATGAACTGCTAGGGAGCGGAGAGGTTCCTCCGGACCGCATTACTCTAAAACGCTCCCTGGAAGTTCATACAGATTGGCCGTCCGCACCGGACGGTCCGCGTGACACTAAAACATGCCTCATGTATTCACTAGAGATCCTACTACTAACAAGAAAAGAGGCAGTGGGTGGCTATCAAGCCAAATGGCGTCATGTCCAAGACATTAATTCTTCACTGCAAGAGCAGGGAACCCTAATTTACCAGAGGCAGATGGGTTGAGGACTTGGGAGGCTTGATGTTCGTGTATTCGTTCCTTAGTCGCCTCTTACTTTATGAAAATGATGTTATCTACTTTGGAACTATAATTGTCTCTGTTTTCTTACATTCATAATTTTTAATTTATTTGAGATTGTGTCTTAACATTTTCAATTTTGTTCAGGTAATAACGGATGGCCTCAGACGCTACGAAGAAGACCTGTGGAATGACACCGAATACACATCGGTAAGTTGTAATTTATATTCACATTTCAATAATTGTATTTTAAATGGTAGCCACAATATAATTTTATAAAAATATCGTCGCTTTAGTTTTTGATCACCTTTAGACCTGTATTTGAAACGTTTTCAAATAATATATTCTAATATTTTTAGATCACATTCTTATTATTTGTTTATTTGCAATAATTTTACTTGTCTTTAAAAAGCATTGGTACTGCATTCTGGCCGCAGAACATTGCAGCAATTTGTTTTATTTTTAAGATAGCATGCAACATTTAAACAGTTAGAGAGCCTTCTCTAAAACTTGTGCACGCATACGTTTAGAAACCAGTTGTACGTGTGAGATTTAGCAAGGGCCCTAACCCGTGCCAGATTTAGCGAGGGCCCATAAAATATGAAAAAGGCCCAAAAATTTTATGGCAACCAAATCAAAACAATTTTTTCGTCATTATGGTTGACATTTCAAAGTAACTGATGCGTCTCGAATGGCATACGAAATAATTCAATGTCAAATAATTGAGTGCCCAAACAACTGCACTCAGGAGGATTTGATGAGTGCTACTGACAACGCCACTCTTGTGGCGGTGTTTGGGCTGACACTGTGTAGGTTTGTTGTTGACACGAAAAGAAGAAGAAGAATGTCAAATAATCGCCATTCTCTCCCCAGTCGTACGGCAGCGGCAGCAACCAATACCGCACAGTGTCGCTGATCAGCCGCGAGAAGTTCGAAGCTTCGGTGCCAAGCGAGCGCCACGCCAACCCGGCGGAACCGCCGCCACCGCCGCCGCGCCCGCAGAAGGTAATTGCAAAATTGTAGAACTTTTCAGGACAAAACAGAAGACAATCTACGTACACACTCCCACACTGTTAACTATCCATTTCCGTTTTTGCTCTCGCTATAATCAAATGGCGATTCTTTGCGATAGAACGAGATGACATGACTTTCAATGGGCAGTTAACACTGTTGGCGATAGTACAAAGTGCGCTCGAGCAACGTAAGATACCGCTCAATATTATACAGGGTGGAATTTTGTAATGCCATCTGGAGATAATGTGCTTTTAATACTGTAGAAGTAGATAGAAAATTGTACTCAAAGAAAATATTCCTTTATTTGTGAAAAGAAAGGAAACTGCATTCAAAGATTTCCCGAAAGCTTGCCAAGTAAAATCCGTTAAAAATTACACCCTGCATTTTACTGCATTGCATTGATCGTTAGAGTTAATTGTAAGGATGAAATCTCTTTAACAAACTTGATAAATCAAATGAAAAGAAAATCATGAAATTAATATAATAAATAATAATAATATTATTTTTCTTTATTTACATAAAATGGTATGGTATGGTGGTGAATTTTCACAAATCTTAGAATGCTTTTCGAAATTGAAGGAATTCTCTTCAGGTCGCATTACAATATTCCACCCTGTATATGTATCGAGGAGTATCCTTAGAACTACAGTCAGCGTCAAAGTTCGTAACACGTCTGTATTACAATTTGGAATAAGGTTGTTGTGCTGTCAACTTTTTGGCCACTTTGGGTGTCACGGAACTATTTGATTTGTCCTGATATCTTCACCTACTTATCATTTTGTCAACAATTTACTAAGTATTTCCGATTTTTCTACCGTCTTGTCCACAATTTGCTACGTATTTACTAAAACATCTCCTTGTTCCCACCAGGCCGAGTCGACGGAGGGCGGCAAGTCGAAGAGGCCGCGCCGCACGGCTTGCTTCTACGCTGCCAGCAAAGACCCGCACGCTACCGATGTCATGTGAGTATATCATCATTATCATCATCATCATTACAGCCACAGGACGTCCTGTTGAACATAGGCCTCCCCCAATGATTTCCAGCCGGGTTAGGATGCGTCATCATCATCATATCAGCCACAGGACGTCCTGTTGAACATAGGCCTGCCCCAATGATTTCCAGCCGGGCTTGGATGCGTCATCATCATATCAGCCACAGGACGCCCTGTTGAACATAGGCCTGCCTCAAAGATTTCCAGCCGGGCTTGGATGCGTCATCATCATATCAGCCACAGGACGTCCTGATGAACATAGGCCTGCCTCAAAGATTTCCAGCCGGGCTATGATACATCATCATCATTTCAGCCACAGGACGTCCACTGCTGAATATAGGCCTCCCCCAATGATTTCCAGCCGGGTTATGATGCGTCATCATCATCATTTCATCCACAGGACCTCCATTGCTGAACATAGGCCTGCCCCAATGATTTTCGGCCGGGTTAGGAGGATGCGTCATCATCATCATATCAGCCACAGGACGTCCTGTTGAACATAGGCCTGCCCCAATGATTATTAGCCGGGCTAGAATGCGTCATCATCATTATTTCAGCCACAGGAAGTCCACTGCTGAACATAGGCCTGCCCCAATGATTTTCGGCCGGGTTAGGATGCGTCATCATCATCACATCAGCCACAGGACGTCCTGTTGAACATAGGCCTGCCCCAAAACTTTCATATCGCCTGTTAGGTAGCGGCCTGCATCCAGCGCCTTCCTGCTACCTTTATAAGGTCGTAGGTCCACCTTGTGGTGAGCTAGGATGCGTCCTATGCACAGATCACAGAATCTAAGGGAGATGTGACAAGGGGGCGGGGCCGATGTCTATCTCTATGGTCTCATGATAAAATCTTAATCAATGATTTTAGACAAATGTATGTCGTAAAGTTTAAAGTGATAAATGTGCTACGTTCTTTATGCGGTGAGCCAACGAATTCGATTCTTACCCGAGGCAATCGATATTTTCAAGTTGGCAACGTCTATAGTCTGGTCGCCGAGCACGTAAAATTTTGTGCAATGACCCCAAGCTACCCATCCTTATCGCTCGCGCCTAATTATATTGCTTTCGCGACTGTGCGACGGGCGCCCGCAGTGAGTGTGCGAGCGCATTGGTTGCAGGTTGGGTAGCTTGGGGTCATTGGACAAAACTCTACGTGCTTGGAGAACGGGCTTTATTAGCAAGCGTTGCCAACTTTAAAATATTCAATACAATCCATAACTAAAGAATACGTTTCGTTTCAGTACCAGCAGGAAGAACAAAACACGTCACAGCATCAACCCACCGGTCGAACACCACGTAGGCTGGATCATGGACGTGCGCGAGCACAGGCCGCGGACGCTCAGCGCCGGGTGAGTCATCATCATCATCATCATCTCAGGCTCCCACAGCTCACTGCAGCACCAGCGAGAACAAGACACGCACAGCATCAACCACCGGTCGAACACCACGAGGCTGGATCATGGACGTGCGCGAGCACAGGCCGCGGACGCTCAGCGCCGGGTGAGTCATCATCATCATCATCATCTCAGGCTCCCACAGCTCACTGCAGCACCAGCGAGAACAAGACACGCACAGCATCAACCACCGGTCGAACACCACGAGGCTGGATCATGGACGTGCGCGAGCACAGGCCGCGGACGCTCAGCGCCGGGTGAGTCATCATCATCATCATCATCTCAGGCTCCCACAGCTCACTGCAGCACCAGCGAGAACAAGACACGCACAGCATCAACCACCGGTCGAACACCACGAGGCTGGATCATGGACGTGCGCGAGCACAGGCCGCGGACGCTCAGCGCCGGGTGAGTCATCATCATCATCATCATCTCAGGCTCCCACAGCTCACTGCAGCACCAGCGAGAACAAGACACGCACAGCATCAACCACCGGTCGAACACCACGAGGCTGGATCATGGACGTGCGCGAGCACAGGCCGCGGACGCTCAGCGCCGGGTGAGTCATCATCATCATCATCATCTCAGGCTCCCACAGCTCACTGCAGCACCAGCGAGAACAAGACACGCACAGCATCAACCACCGGTCGAACACCACGAGGCTGGATCATGGACGTGCGCGAGCACAGGCCGCGGACGCTCAGCGCCGGGTGAGTCATCATCATCATCATCATCTCAGGCTCCCACAGCTCACTGCAGCACCAGCGAGAACAAGACACGCACAGCATCAACCACCGGTCGAACACCACGAGGCTGGATCATGGACGTGCGCGAGCACAGGCCGCGGACGCTCAGCGCCGGGTGAGTCATCATCATCATCATCATCTCAGGCTCCCACAGCTCACTGCAGCACCAGCGAGAACAAGACACGCACAGCATCAACCACCGGTCGAACACCATAATTTTTCTCGCCGTAAAAACCATTCTTGGACTTCAACGAACATAAAAAAAATAATAATATTGTTCCAGGCGTTGTTGAGTTATGCCCTTATACATAGATTATAGTTGGAACTCCGAAGTTACTCGCGGCGTTATGCCCTTTAACACTTCCACCCCTGGAGCATATAGCTCTAGCGGCTCCACTCTGGCCGGCCGGTTAAGGCAAGCCAGAGGTGAAAGTCCTGCAGACCCTCTCGGATTCCACTTCGGCAAGCCGAAGACGAGGGTCTTGACCGACTCTCGGGAGCACTCGGATTAACAACTGACCCCGTGGTGTCGCTACTAACAGCTCGCCACAAAGCTGCCCTGCGGGGTTTATTTTGTATTATTTATCATCATCATCACTCGCCGTGAAGGTCGTGAACACCACGCAGGCTGGATCATGGATGACGATCATCTTAGCCAAAGACCATCATCATTTCAGCCTACGGCAGATTGCTACGGGTGATTGTCTAGCGTTTGACGCACTGTGTCAGTGCCTGAGGTATAGTTCCAAAATACTGAACTGTCCTATCGATGACATTGACAGCGGGGCGCCACCGTCAATACCGAATAGCTGGTTCCGATTTTTGCCATGTTGGAAACCATATAGTTGAACGATGGTAGCGCCCCCCTGTCACTGAGTTTGGTGGGACAGTTCAGCGTGGGTCATCTATATGGAAGCGGCAAGGGAAGGTGTTTTTGTGACGTCAAACGTCAGCGAGACTAGATGTGCTCAGTGACGTCATAATATGTCAATGTCACCCCTCCCGTGCCGCTCCCATATCTCAGGCACTGACCGAGTTACGTGCTACACTGTCTCCAAACTACTGCCCGCGGGCCATATCCAGCCCGCCACTGCCGTCAATCCAGCCCGCGATAGTAATGAAATGCAATAAAAGCCTGTTTGTATAGGTGGGCAGAAAAATTAAAATTGTTATGGCCCCAAGGCTTCAAAGTTTGGAGAGCACTAAACCTATAGTATAAGTAGGTGACGCCGTCGATTTCTCTTCCAAAAATAATTAAACCAGTCAACTAATCTGACTGTCAACTGAGTTTGTTGCGGCGCTTCTTCTCAGCACTTGCCAAATGTTTGTCTCGAAGCGCTGGTAGGGCAAAAAAAGAATGAGACATGTATAGGCTCCTTAAGAGCATTTGATGATTTGCAAGTACTAATTTAATTAGTCTAAACAAATAAAGAAAATTTTGATTTTGATTTAATTAAATATTCTGTGTTCCAGATCGTCGCTAGGGACCTCGCCTACACTGGGCTCGTCCTGCGGCTCCGTCCCGCAGTCCCTGCCGGCGTTCCACCACCCGAGCCACGGCCTGCTCCGCGAGAACCACTTCACGCAGCAAGCCTACCACAAGTACCACTCGCGCTGCCTCAAAGGTGAGCAATCGTGGTAATTTTTAGGATTTTAAATGAAAGTCCTTTTATAAGGATTAATCTATAATCTTCTTGTTTGAAGGTTTTTACATTATAAAAAAAACAAATGGAAAAAATGAGCGTCGCGCCCGAGAGTTGGTTCGAAGAAGATGACCGGGGACGCGCCTAGTGCGGTACTGCACTTCCGTGGAGGCATTAGTGTTGCGCGTACGTCCGGCGAGGGATGAAAATGAATGAATGGTGGGGCGCGTCTTCGTGGATCAACGATCTATACTAATAAAAAGGGACCATTCCCACCTCTCTGGGGAAAGAAACCTATTTTATTCATGCCTCGAAAGACACTAGCCATAAAACCTCTGTGTTTCTGCTGCACGTATAAATCGCGCAGTGAGAATTTAGGCAATCAACACATGAAAAAAATGTTTTGCATACAAGTGCTTTCTGTCTCGCTTGCAGACCGCGACCTATAATAGATCTAGCGCATGAGTCCAGGGTCTGAGGCACGGGAGGGTGTTTTTGTGACGTCAAACGTCAGCGAGACTTCAGATGTGCTTCAGACTTGTATGTTCCGTCACGTCATATGACGTCACCCCTCCCGTGCCGCTCCCATTTCAACGCTATCCATCAAGTATGTCATGTACCGTTTTTCTCCCAGTTTTTACGACTTATTCTTCTTCTTTTCGTAACGAAAATAAACCTACACAGCGTCAGCCCAAAACTCCGCCACAAGAGTGGCGTTGACCTATGGTATGTCTGTTATCTTTGTTTTTTCTCACCAAACGAATTTATTCCAGAGCGCAAGAAACTGGGCATCGGCCAGTCGCAAGAGATGAACACACTCTTCCGTTTCTGGTCGTTCTTCCTCAGGGACCATTTCAACAGGACCATGTACAACGAGTTTAGGTGAGTGGTCAAAACAATAAGATGTTATACATACAACGTGTCCCAAAATTCAAGGATAAGCCGACGCCGCAGGGTGGACATAGTCATGACTACTTTAGGAAAAATAAGAAAAAAAATCTATCTCAATTATTTTTTAAGTTACACAATAAATTATGAAATTCGTCGAAAATTGACACCCCTTATGATATTTTACATTACCACGACTACAATTTTTCAAATACTTCAGTTTTTTTGTTTGTATCGGCAACTTAAGTAGTGCTGCTGTCCACCCCAATTCTTAAAACCCTCAGAATCCTTGCAGTTTTTACACAAAAGTGAATCAAAATATGATATTTCCTTAAAGATTTTGAACGATTTTTACTTACACTCCGCTTTGACTCGTCGTTTTGTAAAAAAACAGTATGAACACTACTGCGGCAAGTTTTTTATAAAGTTGACGCAACTATCCAACATTCCGAAATTGCATTGTCATCGTACTTACACAAGTGTACCAAATTTCAGCTCAATTGGTTAAGGAGAACTGGTTTTAAATTCAGTTGCAAGATTTATCCCATACTAACTAACAAGCGAAGTGCTTGTAAAAATGGTACGCATATCTTTTTTGCGACTAGTTTTCTTAGTGTATTATACCATTTCGGAATCTTGGATAGTTGCGTCAACTTTATAAAAAACTTGCCGTAGTAGTGTTCATACTGTTTTTTTACAAAACGACGAGTCAAAGTGGAGTGTAAGTAAAAATCGTTCAAAATTTTAAGGAAATATCATATTTTGATTCACTTTTGTGTAAAAACTGCAAGGAATCTGAGGGTTTTAAGAATTGGGGTGGACAGCAGCACTACTTAAGTTGCCGATACAAACAAAAAAACTGAAGTATTTGAAAAAATGTAGTCGTGGTAATGTAAAATATCATAAGGGGTGTCAATTTTCGACGAATTTCATAATTTATTGTGTAACTTAAAAAATAATTGAGATAGATTTTTTTTCTTATTTTTCCTAAAGCAGTCATGACTAGGTCCACCCTGCGGCGCCGGCTTATCCTTGAATTTTGGGACACGTTGTATACGTGCTCTTTTTGATTTCCTGGAACTCTAGGGTATTAATAAGACCACTTCAAAGAATGGAATGGCATTAATTTTTTTTGTTAAATTCAACAATTTTTTTCGACTTATTTCTTCATACGAAATTATTTAAGAACTTTATTTTTCACTGAAATAATTCATAATTTATTGTATTTTTGTTTATAATACGTACTAGCGGCCGCCCGCGACTTTGTACGCGTGGACCCCATTTTACCCCTTTAGGGGTGGAGTTTCGAAAAATCCTAAACGTATTACACTTCAAAATTTCGACGGGTTCATCCAGTGTCTAAGTAGCTTAGATGGAAGAGCAGCAGCGGCAAGCGGAAGGTTGTGGGTTCGATTCCCGCCTTAGACAGTTCGATCTTTTCAGTTGTTTAATTATAATTCGTAAAGTCCGTTCTTAGCGGATGTCTACACTCTACAAATAAGGAACCTACCTGCAAAATTATTAGTTTATAGGTGATATAGTTTCTCAGATTTCGGGATTAATCAGTGAGTGGTATTTCGCTTTTAACAGATTCACAAGACATCAACTCAATACTAAATATTGTACACCCACAGGACATTGTAGTTCAAGACTTCAACGCAGTAGTATACCATGTACACCCACACGACATTGTAGTTCATTAACTCAGTAACCATTGTACACCCGCAGGACGTTGGCGAACGAAGACGCCGCCGCCGGCTTCCGGTACGGGCTGGAGTGCCTCTTCCGGTTCTACTCCTACGGGCTAGAGCGGAAGTTCCGTCCGGAGCTGTATCAACACTTCCAGCAGGAGACCATTGCTGATTACGAACAAGGTAGGACTTGGATTTAGATATACCATCATCATAAGGTTTTTTCTTCGTTTTAGGAGTACGACTCTCTCTAATTCAGCAAATCCTAAGAAAAAGGCTGAACCTTGTAAAGTTTAACTGCCTAAAGCCCGGTCTGTGAGCACGTAGAATTTTGTCCAATGACCCCTAGCTACCCATCCTTATCGCTCGCGCGTAATTATATTGCTGTCGCGACTGTGCGACGGGCGCCCGGGTCATTGGACAAAATTCTACGTGCCTGCAGACCAGACTATAGCTCGCATCAATACTGTCTTATGACTATAATTTGTATATTTTAAAGACTGTAAACCCTTGAAAAGGAGGCTGACAATAGTGACCGAGTTTCTTGCGCTGCTTCTTCTCAGCACTGGCCCATTTATTGTCCCGAAGCAGTGGTAGGGTTAATACTGGGACGTGTGAAAGTGCTTTTTAAAAGCCTATTTGCAAAAATTCATGTGATTTATGAGTTTTTTATGAGTTTTTACTGAACTACCTGGATGAATTTCCCGTATTTTAGGCCTCTCTTCTCTCGTCAATAGAGACATTGGGTTACGCAATACGGGTACATTAAATACTTACGGAGAATATCGCGATGTGGTTTTCTGACCACTTCGTTTGCTTTGTAAGCAGACATTTTTGTTTACTAATTATTATTATGAGTATAGTTCGTTTCTCTCTCTCAAGCTCATAAAGTTAATATTCCTTCGGAATAGAGCAACAACCACGAGCTGTCAAACGAAACCGATTTTAGGATGTCATTTGTGTGTCAGTTTTCAGGATTATTTCACTGTTTTGTACAATAATGAATCATTGAACCAGTCACCACGTTTCTGAAGCACATTTCTCATAAACATCGATTGAAATGGTTTCAATCGCGTAAAATCTGATAAAATCTCAGAGCTCATAATTTTTAGCGTGCCAATGAGTGCTAACAAACTGTCAAATAATTGCAAAAAACTGTTCTGTTTATACGTCGTATCACGCATCTCTTTTTATCACAGTGTTGCTGCTAGTGATATCTCGCTCGCTTAGTCCTTTGTTGCTCTATTCCGCTAGGTACCTACATTATCTTTATTATGAATTCGATACTGATAATGCATGTATGATTCAAAAAGAGGCTGACATAGATGACTAATGCCCGTTTCCACCATTAATCCCTAATTTTTAAGTGACCCCTATGGTAACAGAACAGGAATTTTGTTGTCATAGGGGTCACTTAAAAATTGGGATTGTTGGTGAAAACGGGTGTGAGTTTCTTCCGCCACTTCTTCTCAGCACCAGCCCATAAAATATGTTGTCCCGAAGTGGTGGTAGGGCAAGATATATTTGGGACGTGTATAAGTTCCCTGGAAAGAGCCTATGTACTAAATAATCTGAAAATTGTCGGCCGTTTGGTGTAGTGGTTCGGAACGGACTACTATTCCAAGAGGTCCTGGGTTCGATACCCGGCCGGACGGAAATTGAAATGATGAATTTTAATTTCTGTGATGGGGCTAGGTGTTACTATACAGTGTGAGTCACGTTAAAGTGTACATATGAAAATAGATGAAACTAAACCTATTTTTATCGACAAATAAGAGGTCAAAAAAATTTTGAGATTTTTTTAAAAAAATTTATAGACATTTTTTTCTTCCAATTACTTATTGTAAAGAAAACGTAATAAATTTTAAACTAAGCGGTATATCCTGATAAAATAAAAACAGTAATAATGCTAAATAACAGGCGATACTAAAAAAATACATAAAATACACAAAAAAGGCCAACAAATAATAAAAAATGTCACTTTTTGAAAAAAATCTGCTTTTAAATTCGTGTTTTTTTGGTTATTTGATAAATTTGGTTATAGGGGCATTTTTTGGAGAAATTTATCAAATAACAAAAAAAACACGTAAAATGTCCAGGGATATTTATTTATTTACTGAATAAACTATTTGAATGTATTTAATATTGTTTCTGTCTACCCCCAGGCCAGCTGTACGGTCTGGAGAAGTTCTGGGCGTTCCTGAAATACTACAAGCACGCGTCCGCGCTCCAGGTGGAGCCCAAGCTAAAGGCGTGTCTCGACAAGTTTCCGAGCATCGAGGACTTCCGGGTGCTCGAGGTAGTGTAGCTGTTATATTCATCTGTTCCTTTCAGCCAAATGTCGACGATTATTCAGCTGAATGAAGTTCGATTTTGAACATAGGCCTCCTCCAATGATTTCCATTTTAACTGATTGGTTTTATGGCTATTGCGGTTAACCTACTCCTAAGCATATTAGTGGGTTCCATATTGGTCAAAATTCGATGGTTGTTCGAACACTTTGAACCTGTTTTCTGTGTTTCTAACCCCATTTTCATTCTAGTTGAATATAAATCTACAGCGACTATGCAGGCACATTACTAAAAACTGCCTACCTAAAATTAGTGCCAGGTTGATGAAAATGTAAATTGTGCCTTCTTTTTTCTGTATTTCTTTTTTTGTTGTCTTACGTAGAATGATAGTGTATTGTACCAATGATTTAATTCCGTAATGTTTTTATTCCAACAGCCGCAGCTGAACGAACTGCTAGCCAGCTGCGGGGCCGCGGCGCCGGGGCGCGGGCCCCACGCGCGGCCCTACGACCGCCACCGCTCCGTCTCGGAGAGCGACCGCGCGCTGCGCCAGGCCTCCAAGACCAGCAAGCACAAGCACAAGTGAGTGGGGACACCCTACGTGGTGTGGGGACACCTTACGTGGTGTTATAAGTGAGTAGGGACACCCTACGTGGTGTGGGGACACCTTACGTGGTGTTATAAGTGAGTGGGGACACCCTACGTGGTGTGGGGACACCTTACGTGGTGTTATAAGTGAGTGGGGACACCCTACGTGGTGTGAGGACGCTCTACGTGGTTTGGGGATAACTTACGTGGTGTCACTAGTTAGTGGGGACACCCTACGTGGTGAAACTAATGAGTGAAGACACCCTATGTGGTGTGGGGACACCTTACGTGGTCTGGGGGCACCTTACGTGGTGTCACTAGTGAGTGGGACACCCTTCGTGGTGTCACTAGTGAGTGGGGACACCCTATGTGGTGTGAGGACGCTCTACGTGGTCACCCTATTTTGTATCACAAGTGAGTGGGGACACTGGGGACAGTTTACGTGGTGTGAGGACACTCTACATGGTTTGGGGGCACCTTAGGTGGTGTGGGGACACCCTATGTGATGTCACAAGTGAGTGATTACACCGTACGTGGTGTCACAAGTGAGTGGGGACACCCTATGTGGTGTGAGGACGCTCTACATGGTTTGGGGATACCTTACGTGGTTTGGGGACACCCTACGTGGCGTCACTAGTGAGTGAGGACACCCTACGTGGTGTCACAAGTGAGTGGGGACACCCTATGTGGTGTGAGGACGCTCTACATGGTTTGGGGATACCTTACGTGGTTTGGGGACACCCTACGTGGCGTCACTAGTGAGTGAGGACACCCTACGTGGCGTCACTAGTGAGTGGAGACACCCTACGTGGCGTCACTAGTGAGTAGGAACACCCTACGTGGTGACACTAGTGAGTAGGGGCACCCTACCTGGTGTCACTAGTGAGTAGACACCCTACGTGGTCTATGGACACCCTGGGTGGTGCGTGGACACCCTTCATTACTTGTGGACTCATCATAGAGACTCTGAAAGAGGCCATAACAGTAATTTTCTATAGTAAGCATCGTAACGCGACCTACGGCGTTATAGGAGGCCACAGCCTTAATCTATGTAAAAAAATTTTTTTTTAATGCATAACAAGGCAGGTATTTGACCACAATCGCACCTGATGTTAAGTGGGATGCAGTCTAGGATGGTACATATCTGCCCTGTAAGTGCCTATTCACAATAAACAATTTATTTATCTATCTCTGTCTACCCGCAGATGGTCCAACGACGGCAACAGCGGCCGAGACAACCGCGGCCGCGCCGGCTCCTGCGGCGCTCAGAGCGTCGTCGCCAACGCGCGTCCTCGACGTAAGTCATCATTATAATCATCAGGTCATTTAGAGTAGGCGCACACCGTTGATTTTTAGTTGGCCGATAGTTGTGCAAGATTTCAAATTGTCTGAAGAATCGGCACAATCGAATCGGCGTAGTGTGCGCACTCCCATACATGCCCATACTGATCAACAGGCGAAGACGAAAAATCAACGGTGTGCGCCTATTCTTAGTCTCCATTGTAGGAGCACGATTACTTCAATACTCAATACTCAATATTTTATTGCATCCATTATGTACTTAAAATTAGAACATTATGGGCCCTGCAGGGCACGGCAATTAGGAGAGAGGAGGACCACCCTAGATCAACCGAAAGATGTCAGAAGTTACGAGCTTAGTAATTTATCGTTGAGATACTCACTTTGAGCATAATAGTGTTTAGAAATTAAAAGTTCTTTAAGTTTTTTTTTTTTTTTTTATGCATAACAAGGCAGGTATTTGACCACAATCGCACCTGATGTTAAGTGGGATGCAGTCTAGGATGGTACATATCTGCCCTGTAAGTGCCTATTCACTCTCGCCTTGAAAAGGCCCGGATTATAGTTTTCGGGAAAGACAGCAGCAGGCAACGAATTCCAGTCCCTAGCTGTTCGCATTATAAATGTTATAAATGTTTTCTTACAAATGTTAATTCTTTGGGTGTATTTTTTATCGAAATTGGAAGCTTATTAAAAATTTTGATTGACATGGAAAGTGGACCCGATGAGTACAGTTCAAGGCGGTTAATACACCAGGGACCAGTTACTATAAGTGATCAGCATCATCATCATCATGTCATTTGGTCTCCACTTCAGGAGTACGATCACCTCTCTAAATACACCAAAGACCTGAGTAAAGCCTGGTCCGTGAGCACGTACAATTTTGTCCAATGACCCCAAGCTACCCATCCTTATCGCTCGCGCGTAATTATATTGCTGTCGCGACTGTGCGACGGGCGCCCGCAGTGAGTGTGCGAGTGCGACAGCAACATAATTACGCGCGAGCGATAAGGATGGGTAGCTTGGGGTCATTTGACAAAATTCTACGTGCTCACGGACTAGACTATAGTAAGTGACAGTGACCTCATGCTTCATATGCATCGTCCAATGTCAGATCGCGCGGACTGTCATTAGCCTATGATCGCACGGGCAATGGCGATTTGCACGCGTTGGTGTTGAAGGTGTGAAGCTTTAGATATAACGACATCAATATTACTGTCATTCCTTCCTTCGGTAATGACACCACACATACCATAATCGTCATTATTTGGTTCCAACCACCACACTATCTAAAGCCTGGTCCGTGAGCACGTAGAATTTTGTCCAATGACCCCTAGCTACCCTTCCTTATCGCTCGCGCGTAATTATGTTGCTGTCGCGCTCGCACACTCACTGCGGGCGCCCGTCGCACAGTCGCGACAACAATATAATTACGCGCGAGCGATAAGGATGGGTAGCTTGGGGTCATTGGACAAAATTCTACGTACTCACGGACCGGGCTTTATAAGTGATCAGCATCATCATCATCATCAGGTCATTTAGTCTCCACTCCAGGAGCACGACCCTCTAATAATATACCAGAGGCAAATGGAGGATTTGTCCTACACTCCCCACGCTGGCCAGACGGGTTGGGGAGGCCTAAATGTTCGCATATTTGACGCATTTTCGCCTTTTGTTTGTTGCTAACAAAAATTGTAAATAACATGTTACAAAACAAATAAACCGTATGTAGGGCAGCGGAGTTGTTGTTTGTTGAAAGGCCGTGTTTCACAAATGTAGTTTATTGCCAGGTCTGCACAGTTTAAAATAATACAGCACAATCACAAGTATAATGGCCGGAGTACGAAACGCTACTGCCCTACATGGTCCTTCGAGCCGGATCAAAATGAAAGTTTATGCCTTGATTGGCAGCATATCAAATTAATTATTATATACTTTATAATATTCGTCGTCATCCAAATGACGTCCATTGCTGGACAAAGGCCTCTCCCAAGGATTTCCATAACAACCGCTTCCCGCATCTAGGTTCTTCCCGCGACCTTCACCTTCAATATTATATTATTTGGTTGTAAAAAAGTGTAATTATTATCCCCATTTCCTCACTTAATTTAACTTAAAATCCTGACTAATATTGAAATCTCCATTCGTTTCACAGCAACATCGAATCAGTGCCAGCAGCCAAACTAATCGCCAGTCGCAGCCAAACGCCACCGCGGGAACTTAGCGAGAACCAAACACCTGTAAATAACTAAAAAAAAACCCGCGCGTGTTACTTAAACTTAGTGTTAACAGACAAAAAAATGCATTTTTATAAATAAATTCGAAAAAAAAAGTTAAAAAGTTGCAAAAAATGTTGTGTATACAGCCGAAGTGTCAGTGTGTGTGGACTGTATAGTTAGTAGTGCTGATAGGACAGTGTGAGTGTTGTGCTCGGACCCGCTTGGAGTGGTCCGAACACGGTCCGGGCTGTCTGGATCTGCAGGCTGGTCAAAAATGGAGCCTAGGTGAGATTACATTTTATTACAACTCATAAAAAGTAAAACTCATTTGTTTCTGCAAGTAAGCTTTTAGTGAGCCGCCACACAGGCGGATTGCAAGCGTTTGCAAAGCGGAGCGGTGACGCAGCGAACACGAGGCGAAAACTAGGCTAGAAATAAATAAATAAACTCTAGGCGGAAACTTTGCGCAGCCGCGACGTCTTCGTCGCTCCGCTTTGAAAACGCTTGTAATCCGCCAGTGTAGCAAGGCCCTTAAAAAGCACTTTTACACGTCCCAGTATTAACCCTACCACTGCTTCGGGACAGTAAATGGGCCAGTGCTGAGATGAAGCAGCGCATGAAACTCAGCCACTATTGTCAGCCTCTTCTTCAAGGGTTTAGTCTTTAAAATATACATAGTTATAAATATTGATGTGAGCTAGGCAGTGGGGAAAAACACATACAAACAGCTATTAAACCTTTGTTTGTCACCTGTCATCTGCTTGCAATGGAGGGAAGTCGAACCTTAATTTCGAACTCCTCCTGTGTTCTTCTGATTAATTTCGTTGCGGGTCCAATGACAGTTTAACTTTCCCCTGGGACTATCTTGGCCTTCACTGGTTGGGTTTTTGGCGGTATAACTGTAGATCCTGCCTACACAGGAGTTGCGGTGGGAAGTGGGAATAATCCTTCACCAAAAAGTTTGATTGTGTTTTAACATGTCTTTTTTTTTGTTCCAGCTTGTACGCATCGACAATAAACGCTGCGCGATAGTCACCATGAATTAATATAACGTATATTATGACTTGACACTGTTAGAGTAAGTATATCATAACTATAATACGTGCAGTGTGTCTGGACTAACTTCGAACTGTGACTTTTAGCTCCAATTTGAAACCTATGACATTACACGCATAACTGAAGTATACGGTCCTTCATCCGCCATCTTGTAAAGAAATTTTACGCTTTAGAGTGATGTCCTTTAGGTTTTTTTTCGTCTGGTTACATTGTCATATTGTGTGCCTTTAAAAATTTAATACTTTTATATTTCTATCTTCTTTTTTTCTATTTTTTAATCTGTTATCTATAGCAGCTGGCTCTGGCTTTTAGAATCGTTTACTATGTCTGTGGTTAGTCCAGAAACACTGTAACTATATATTTTTGACATTGTATAATACATGCAACTTCATTTTGAGTCGTATTTAGTTTCATCATAATATATTGTGAAAGGATAATTTAAGTTTTTTTTTGTATTCGCCTAAGTAGCTAAAGACCTGGTCTTGGTGCTTGACGATTATGCTTCTTCTGCCAATTGTAATACCGTTCATTGTTCCGATCTCTTCATTTAGGCCGAATTCACATTGGACTAGCTAAACGAAGGGTGCAACGAATTTCGGCTTTTAGAAATTACGGTTTCTTTCACACGTAGTGTTTAAGAAACAACGCTGATTGTTCATTAGCAAATTATAGGAAATTTGTAGTTGGCGATTGTGCACTTAAGGCTCGAATGTTTTAACGTTTCGCTGTCATTGTAAATATCTATAGTCGAGTTCACTTGGCTGGGAAATGGAGTCCAGTGTGGACCGGCCGTTGTTTACTTTAGGATGAAAATCGTGGACATGTACAGATGTTGATATTTTTTCTGGTAGACAAATTGATATTAGTGTGGACTTAATAGTTCAAAAATGTATAAAATCGTCAGAAAGACTGGCTATCTGCATGTTAAAGTAAAATGTAAAGATTAAATGAGTGGTGTGAAATAAAAACTGGTGGTTTTGGACTATGTGGGGATGATTTTTTTGTTTATTAGCAGACTCATAAAGACTACGAACTTGATTTAGCCCTTTATTGATAAAGTAAGCTAAAGTTGCTGTTAGGACAGCTAGTTCAGGCTGAATTTGTAAAAATCGTCTTTGATGGTAAGCGTCAGAGTTGCCTTATAGTAGAATCAGTAGGTAACATAATCTTATGCTCTATCCTCGGAGGCTGTTTAACATAATATCATGTTCTCTCTTTTCGGGTCTGCCTACAAATACTGCCACTTGATTATATGACACAACTGAGCACACAATTTTCTAGTATTTACTCAAGGGCTTAGAATGTTATACCGTTGTGGAGATTTGATATATTTGTTTGTAAATTCATCAAAAATGATAATTTACTTTCCTAATTATTTTTCTTAGACTTGATCTAAGAGTTCTATCAAATGTATGTCATGTATTTAATTGTACTTGATTACTCAATTTTGTTGAAATAACGGCATCTAACTAATAGTTGTGTTGTATTATGGCATAATTATTGCACCTAAACCTTTTTTAATACATTTCTTTCTGATTCCCACATGTAAAATCTGAAGTCTTGTTTTGTGTATTTGGATGATGTGTTGATTTCTTCTGTGACTTTCGTAAACATGTGCAAACATTATTATGATTTGATCAAATCTCTGAAACAGTCAAATATTCAAGCCAAAAGTCGGTCTTACAGCCTCAATCGAGTACGACCAATTCTATCAGTTATCATTGGTGTCTGATTGACGTTGGAGCCGACTCGTGTATAAAGTACTAACACTAACTTGCTCAATGTAATGGTTTTTTATGTACGGAAGTGATATCGGACTTGTGACGTGGTTTGTAAATTATCCAAATCAAATCCTATTATTTCAAATAAAAAAAGCTTTTGACTACAAATATTTTCTTTGAAATTAAACCGTCACTGATAGAATATATTCTTTTACGGATATAACTCAGGATTTGGATAATGTACCCTCAATATTTTATTTAAAACTGTATATTATACTAAATGTTAATTAATAAATAAACGATTGGTAAGGTGTGTGTCGATATGATACTTTGATTTTTAGTGTGTAAGTGTGCTTTTTATTTTTTATGAAGTGTGTGCGTAGCTATGTGCAGATTTAAAACATATTACATGTATGTACTGATCGATAAAGTAATATAACATCCGTAATAATATTTTACGAGATTAAAATAATATAATCAAGAAAAAAAAATGATATTTTTTTGTCCAAAATGGTGGTGCACACACTTTATTCAATAACTACTAGATTAATGTTAAAATTAAATATTATGTCTAATAATGCTTAGATCGCTTCAATATAAAATAGTTCCTATACGTTGTAATTAAATGTTTAGCTTGTTTATTTCAAATCTCTTGGCACAGAAATCGTTCATAACTCTGAATATATACTTAAAATATCGAAATGCTGTTATATTTCTATTATTTTAGAGTTAGGATTAAAAGTTCTAAAAATATTTTCATTTAGATTAAAATGCACGTATGTAGTTTCAAAAAGATGTTAAGTAAGGATTGTCGGTGGTTATTTTTTTGTTTCTATCGATATTGAAGCGAATGTAATCATTAAATTGAATGTAATTCTATAGACTATACAGACAGTATCGGTGTTTAGGTATAAATATATGTATCGAGCTTACAGTTTCTACCGTTTCTTGACGACGGTCAAATTGGGCTGGCGAAGTCTCGAAATAATCGAGTTTTACTACTGGCAACATCGAAAGGCGTGACGTCACTAAAAGTGGCTTTAGTGGAATTTGTGGCCAACAAAATTGTAGAAACTCAGTGACGTCACTCTAGGTAGCTTCTCCAGAAGTTGTCAATATTGCCAGCTCAATAAATCGATCGTTCTGGAAGTCACGGGCCAATAACTTATTTGGTTTATCTTCTAACTTCTTCATAGCTGACTTTCCTACATCAAATCAAATCTGACTAATCAAAGCAATATAAACCTTCTTACTTAGATATACGCCATAAAATCGTGCGATAACAGTTTTCGCAAAGGCAATTACATTAATGTCAGTTTGCTATAATCTATCCCAATCCAAATTCGACAAACTTTCAATTTTTTTATCTGTTTTTGGTCAAAATATCCTCGGATTTCGATGTTTTCATATTGTTCAAAAGACTATTCAAACAATAAAAAAGTGTAATAGCATCGAAATTGTGGATTTTTGATCAAAAACAGATTGAAATTTGACAGATGACGGACGGATTTGGATAGTGATTGATTTTGATTGGTAGGTGTGTCAAGATTCGCTATGAAGAAGACCTCTTTATTTTTAAAACCAATTAATGATTATAATATTATAGTGGTTACAATCTTTTACGGTTTCTGTGTCGCAATGACCAAGGTTCTATAATTACAGTTGGTTGACTTTTCCAGCTTTTGTTTAAAAATAACATAAATTCTTCAAAATTTTATGAATTGTCAATGATGGATTAAAGTTGTTGAAGTCAATCTTTAAATAAATTCGGTTGTATATGTATACATTAGTCCTTTCTTTTTTCACTTTCTGAATTCTGTATTATAAACTTCAAAATTGTAAATATGTTTCGATTAAATGCGTTCATAGCAATATATTCTTTTAATTCATTTTCACACCTTTCCAAGTGAAAGAAGAAAGGAATGATGGGGTATCTTTTGAACCGTCCCGTTAAATAGTTTAGTGCATTTGGTAAAGTTAACCATAAACGTTAGTTTGGTTCGAAGCGATCATGAGCTCACGCGGTGGCGCATTTTCATGCAAAAGTTGTATTATTTCATACACTTTATATTAGAATTTTAATAGAGCTCACTCTAAAATTACTGCTAGCATAAAATAAAAATTTTACCAAAAAAAAACTATTATTCAATTTGTTATTAATCCAAAATTACATTAATTTTACGTTCAGATGCGTATAGAACAAAGCTAAAGACTCAATTCAATTTCAAGCAAAAATTCAGACTTATAATTGGTAGAATTTCAACATAACCAATCGCAGAACAGAATTTATGAGTTAAAATAGTGAAACACATTCGGTATTTTTGTATGAGTTTAACTCAAAACTGTCGCGTCCAGACCCGTTTTCCTCTATTTTAATTTAATAATGCGAAAGTTTAGAATCTATGACTGATATTGAATCGAGTTTTGAACGTTGTTTTGTATTACATACAGTCAGCGTCAAATAGTTCGTGACGCCCAAAGTAGCCGAAATGTTGGCAACACCTCTTTGTTAGAATTGGAATAAGGTTGTTTTGACAACTTTTTGACCACTTTGGAACTATTTGACGCTGAAAAGAGCCATAGTGTAATTATTTTGCCCTATTTTTGATTGTCTTGCTAGCTTTCTATGCTAGGGTTCGTAGGTTATACATGATAGCTGTATACCAACAGTTAAGGATTGATTTTTCCATACTGTTAGATTTTAATTTAATAGATATCTAATTAGAAGGCCTAAATCGGCACATAAACAGTAAATCCCTGTAACTACATGGTCATTTTTCTATAGTAGATGCTGATAAATCTTGCTTGAGTAAATAAGACAGTCACACGCTGCGCGCTGTAATAAGAGTTAAATTTAAACGATAAGTAATTGAAATTACAAAAAAAAACTTGTTTACAAAACTAGTCCCAAATACTTCATATTTGTTGCGAATGCGTCGCCGCGCTTACATTAATATTGTTAAGTTTTTTTTATTAAGTTCTACGTCATGATTGTTGCAATTTATTTTCTTTCGTAAGACGCCAAAGGAGAAAACAACAAAGTGCTGATGTATACACAAAAACTAGGGTATTGTATGAACGAAAAATATACAAAAAAAAGTCTTTCTAATAATCATAAGTTAAAATCTAAGTTTTTGAATCAGTAATGTTTTTTCCATTGGATTACCTATAGCGTTTGTTATTTTTGTTTCTTATAATTTGAGTAAAAAAAACGATAAAAAATTGGTTGTTGTAATATAGAAATGAGTAGATTGTTTAATAGTCGTAGTCTAATATAAGTAGGTATACCCTTTGGAGATAAAATAAGATGTTTTTTAAGGATGCTTGATGCTCTGCGGCGGCAGTGCCAGCCTGGTAACTGACCATAGAGGTGTATGTTTTTTTTAATTTCCACAATTGTATCATGAATTGAGAAGCATTTCAACACTGTCGCTGTAAGCACCTTATGGCTGTAAGTTATACATTATATACATATTATTATATTGATAAATAAATTAATAATAAAAGCATTTGTGTTCTTTTATTTTGTCAATACACCTCCTCGTTTATCTTTTCCCAAAATTATTGTGCGAGTCTCTTCAAGGCGAGATTCACTTCATTCATACATGCACAAAATACTGAGCAGGTATATACAGTCAGATTATGTAACACCCAAAGTGGCCGAAAAGATGACACCCAAGTGTCACGTACTATTTGACGCTAACTGTACCTGCCCAGAATGCGTTTTCACTTTTAAAATCGGGCGTGATTGCAATAAAAAATTTTGCTACCTCAAAATCAAAAATATTTATTCAGTTTAGACCAGAAGTGGCACTTATGAACGTAAAAATGTAGTAAAAAAAAAAAAGGTAGCCCTTATGGGGCACTTTACGTCATGTCTCCTTATCTTTTGGGCCCTACCTACCAGCGCGACTTTTTGCTCAATAAATAAAAACGATAAACAATAAAATTCAAAAACTGTTGCTAAGACTTGTTTTCTTAAGATTATTTTTCTCTAGCCGAATTGAATGATACTACTAATTAATTTGAAACATCTGTGCAACACTGAAGAAATATTTCATTTTTAACGCATCCGTGATTATATGGCTGTTTGGCGCCCTCTTCACCAGTTGGCGCCCTCTTCACCAGTTGGCGCCATTGGTGGACCTTTTTCATAAAGGAAATTGGGGCCCCATTGCAGAAACATTGAAGGAGTACCTAACTCTCTAAAGGGCTCACCTGCAATCCAAGGAATGCTGGTTCAAACCCACTAACACAAGCATATTTAGCGACTATTCTAATATTCTAAAAAAATATCCTTTTTAATTATGTGGATGTGGCCCACATCCACATAATTAAAAAGGATATTTTATATATTAGATATTAGATATTATATACGAACCGAACCCACATCATGTGGGTTCGGTTCGTCCAATGTAAAAGTAAACACATTGGTTGAAATGCTTTCCACTAGATGGCGCTAATTCACCAAAACATTTGATTTGATGACAATACATCACGAACCCGGTACATGGTCACGACGACGATGTTTTTCTCGATTAATTGGATTTATTTGCATAAACTGATTATGAATNTACTAAAACATGACGCGTCTAGATGCTTTACGATTTCATTTAAAATCACCTCGAGCAGTATCGATCGATTAAAATTATCGATGCAATTTAATACCTTCGCGCCAGTAAGTCTCGTCTTTTGAATTTATTGTTATTTGAAACCATCTTTTATCATTCTTTTGATAAGCTGGATATGAGGCATATAACTTTCTTCCTTGTCAAAGTGGCCCATAAAATAAAGTGCTGTCACTTGCATAGGGCATTAAAATGCCTTGAATTACTTACTTGCCAATTGCTTATGTTAAGTAGCAGTTAATAAGAAGGTTTAATTAATCTAGGACATAGTTCCTAAAACATAGAGTGACAGGAAAGTAACTTTTTCTACAAAAAAACTAAGTTACGCAGAATATTGACTTAGTTTTTTCAGACAAATCTTTGGTCAAGAGTTAGATTTAGAGGTACTTATTGTCCGTGTATAATCTAAGAATGCTTCCAACTAACCACCGTTCGCATAAATTTAACATTCCTGCTTACGTGGCGAAAACTAATCATATTGTCGGAACTTTGTTCAGAACAATAGGGTAAGTCCAGGATAGATGCCCCACTTTTTGAAACAGCTCTGTAACTCAGTCAGGAAGTTTTTATCAACAATTTGACCTTAGTATCTATAAACTTTGGTCTTTCGTCTATGATATTACTATAATTATTTTAGTTTAAGTAATACCGAATCTGAGAAAATACCATTTTAATTGACCTCTAAAAATTGGGATAGACGCCTAATGTGGGGGATAGAAGACTCACTGTATGATTGCTTCAAAGGATAGATGCCTGATGCAGGGATAGATGACTCGTTAATATAGTTTTTGATTTCTAAGGATCAAATGCATTTTGAAATCAAACAAGCCAAGTATTATTATTTGACATTGTTTGTTATTAAATGAATTAAAAATGAAATTTAATATTTTTTATTAAAAATAATACTACTCCTTCTAGCGCAGTCGGGTAAAAAGGTAATTTGATCAGAAGGGCACCCTATTTATTGCTTTCCTAAGGTAAGCCGGAGCAAGTAAGAAGAAAAAAAGAATGTAGTATCTTTTTTTCTTCTTACTTGCTACCTGTGACAAAAAGAGCAGGTTAGGATAGATGCCCCTAGGTGCATGGGACATGGCCCTAAGGGCATCTATACCCAAAAAAAATTAGGCAACTATCCTTTTAGTATAGGATAGGTGCCTTTTTTAATAAAAAATATAATAACACTAAAAATCGAATTAAACATAGCTTTACCGTATAATTTATAAGATAGTCTATCAAATTATATAAAAATCTGCTTCATTTTACAGCTGACAAAAAAATTATCCATTTAAAGATACTTACCTATATTATTTCGACGCTCGCTAAGGTCTGGCCGCGGAAGATTTTTGCTTTCACTGGCTAAACGAATGCACTCTTTGATGGTTTGCGAGGCGAGAAGTGGTAAGGAGAGGTCCCTTTCTATTATACGTACTATAACTTTAGGCTAAGTTGCTTGTAACATAGTGTACTTAAAATCGCGGCACCTATCCCACTGGGGCATGTATCCTGGAATTACCCTACAGTGCACACTGTAGACACTCAAATTATAATAACTTAACATGCATGGGAGGAAGCAGAATGGGGGCCGAATCGTAAAAGGTTTTAATGGAAGCCATAACAGACGCTTTCAATTTATGCAGACGGCAGCGCCCGAATAGGGATGTCCATGCGATGCTCACTCGATTTCTCGGGTGGTAAAACGATTTCATTCGCATATTATCGGCAACTAACTTAAGTATAGAAGAGAAAACAATGTGTGTGATACAGAAGAAAAAATAAAGAAGTTAATTTTTTTAGTCTACGCTACATTTAAGTTATTAGATTGAAAATTTTGGTTGCGAAGAAATTATGCTCTAGAATTATCTGTTTTTAAAATGAGTATTAAACACGACCTGAGCACGAGAATTAGCATAAACTAATACTTAATAATAAATAAAAAAATATTTTTCAAAAACAAGCTTTTAATGCTCTAAAAAGAATAAAATAAAACAAACCCATCAACTTATTACTTTACTCAATTTATATGATTAAAAGCTTGTCGCGAGATTTACTAGATGTATGTATTTAACTATTAGATTTTTTTCTAAGATCAAAGTTTTAGCAAGATCAAGTTACGTATTTAATGTATTTTTTATACAAGTAAATCTCGCGACAAGCTTTTAATCATATAAATTGAGTAAAGTAATAAGTTGATGGGTTTGTTTTATTTTATTCTTTTTAGAGCATTAAAAGCTTGTTTTTAGTCCAGTCAATGAATGCCTTAACGACGGTGTAGAGAGAAATCCGTGGAACACAATTTCTGACCTCGGGACTTTATTTAGCCTAGTAAGGTGGTGAACATAGCAAAAGTCCCCGCCCTTAGCCCTTGAGCCGGCGGGGAGAGGGGGGTTTAAAGGTACCACTTTTCGGTTTTTCGCTTAATCCTCGGAAACTATGCGTCCTAGTGACATGACTACTATGAACCAAAAAAAGCTTATTCAATTTGCTACAGGTGAGACCGTCAAGTTTTTCTATATCTTGTATAGTTTTTGCGGCATCTGCTCTAGAAGGTCTGTAAAATTGGAAATTTTATTGGTTGTGTTGTTTCAGTGCGAATTCCCTATGGACACCTTCCGGCTCCATCATCAGACCCTGATGGTTACCATCTATGATTAAAGTACTCGTCAATAAAAATTAAACGAGCCCAAACTCGATAGGCCTGTGTCGTTTTATTGCGGAGTTCCTATGACTACCTTCCAGCTCCATCATCAGATCAGCTCCGTGTCATCATAATATTGCATTGTCATCCGACTTACACATGCATGCAAAATTCCAGCTCAATAGAAAACCGGGAAGTGGGTCAATTTTAAGTTGCAAGATTTGACGACAGACACCAGACATGTGAAAGTAATAAAAAGCTTGTAATAATAAGTAATTAGGTGGCATCAAAGTGCTGTGCAGGTAAAAAAACCAATTGCAACAACCAAAAGTACAAAAATAATTAACTACAAAGAGAAGATTTTTGTCTTCGTCTACCCAACGTCTACCAACATGGTTTCATGTCATTTAAAGGTATTAGCACCTTCCTTAGATCAATAAAGCTTTATTAATCTAAGATTAGCACACGATTCTGTGCTTAGTTGTGAGTGAGATGTGATCACAGAGAGATTTGATTTAATTTTAAGAAAGGAAGACTTAGATCCTTTAATTATTTCCCGATTCTAGTCTTTCTTTTTGTAGTTGCCAGAGGATTACACATTTATGTTATGTAGTTAGCACAGAATAAATAATAGGTAGTAGTTAGCCTTTTATTATAATAAATCTAGACATTCGAGACACACATTTATAAGACAAAGCAATAAATTTTTATCTTACATCTTTTTGAGATGTTATGATCAGTTAGTTATAAGAAGAACAAATAAAAAAAAATTAATCTCCTCCTGCACCCCGATTACGGTAACTTTTAACGTCTACAATCCAGACGCGTTTCTGATTCTGCAATACGATTGGTCAAAACAGCTGACGTACGCTGTTGAACGACCAATCGTATCGCAGAAGGGTATTTCGCCGAAACAGTAAATTTTCTGTGTCCAGGCAGGCGAACACATGTTTTTTTATATTTATATGTATAAAACTATTTTTATGGGAAAGTTAATCAAAAGTTTTATTTGTTTTTGCTATTACAACAGCAGAAACTACAAATAATACCGTAGAAAAACTTAATCAAAAGTCGTTTTTCTAATTTCCTTGTTATGTCCATTACTGTTGTTTGCCAAAATGAAGGCACATTATAACAAATTGAAGCGTAATTTCATTCTAATAGCACTCTCTTTATATTTGAGAAACGTTTGGCTATCGAAAAATAAAAACTTTAAATGTCAAATAGTTAAAGGAAGGAAATAAAGTGAAGTTAAGTTCTTGTCCGAGTCAAAAGTATAATTTCCCTGGGTCTTCTTTTCGACCATTGTAGTAAAGAAACGAAAGAACTTAGAATGTAATGCACTGCACCGTTACACTCGGCCATTTCATCCCAAGAGGCCATCGAGGCAGGACAGTACTTCGTTCAACAGTTTCGCGACAAATCGCATAAGTAGGTCCCTCCTTGGGTTTTTGTTTACTAAAAAGTCAATTTCTTTGGACGGTTTTTTGCAGCTAAACAATGGATTAATTTTATTGTTTATTTACACAGATGTAGTGTCTGTAGGGGTAAACCCATGATTTAAATAGTAAATGCATTAGGTAAATAGGTTTTTGTCTGTGGTGTCTTTTAGGCATAAATCTAATTTCTTTGGCCCTAATTTCCTTGTTTTCCGTGGCATAAAAAGGCCTAGGAAATTATAAAAGACCATTTTTAATTCAGCGTAAAGTCAAATTTTGAGTATTTCTTTATTGGAATAAGTTTAAAATGTACATTTTAAGAAATGGGTATCAGAATAGATATAGAAAAACTTGTTTCTAACTCTTAACTCAATCTACTGAATTTATCTTCCTTAGTTGTGTAAAAAGGTCGTAATGATACAATATTCATTGGTATGTTTGCTTGCGAAGGTACACAAAAATGGGTCGAACAAAAAAAAAGCAAACCATAGAAGAAAACTTAGAGAAAAAAATATTTATAATAATTTCCTTGGCTACCAAAAATTCATGACCTTATAACTTTGTTTCTAAAACGAATTATGACACCCCTTTTAGATACATTAGCTTAGTTTTTGTTACTTAATACAATGGGAAACTAAAAATAGTTAAAAACAAAAATATATTTCGTACCAAGGAAATTAGGCAAAATTGTCCATTTTTGGCGAAATACCCAGAATCGAGAAGCGTGTCTGGATTGTTGACGTTATAAGTTACCGTAATCGGGGCTCTGTGCTGCGCAAGCCCAAGATCTATAGTCTTTTTCACGTAAGATGATCCGTATGACACTTCAAGGTTATCCATATTACGCATACTACATATGCAGAATATTTTTGAAAAAATATTTGTATTTCATTAGCAATATACTAAAAAAAAATTAACTACTTGTCTTGAAATATATAGTAAAATCTGAGTCTATTGATTAATATTTTAATTAAATACGATGTAAAAATATTTTTTATTTAATGTACGCAATGTGTGAAACGGAATAGATTTAGTGCTGGGGTATCTCTTGTATAATACAATCGATTATTTCCGCGGTTCATTAATCGATTGCAGTGAATACTTAGTTATTAAAAACATCACAAAAATCAACTATATTTTTCGATTATTGACTTTAATAAACGCATTGAAAATAAATTAATAGTTTTTAATTTAATGAAACAGAACCAGTACTTTTTAGGAATCGTTTTTATGAACACGAACCATGAAATTTGAATATTATCAATAAAAAATTGTTAAAATAATATTTGTAATTCAAAAAAACATGTTTTTTGTTAAATAACACCTAAACAAAATAATTCTCTAAAAGTAGGTTTTACTAACTCTTCGAAAAAAATCGATAGATAAATCGCTATGGTTTAGTTATGTGACATCTCTAAATCTTTCAAACTCCAAACGTCATAGGGATCATCTTAGGTGAAAAAGACTATAGTTCCAAAATACTGAACTGTCCTATCCATGACATTGACAGCGGGGCGCCACCGTCAATACCGGATCGCTGGTTCCGATTTTTGCCATGTTGGAAACCATATAGTTGAACGATGGTAGCGCCCCCCTGTCATTGAGTTTGGTGGGACAGTTCAGCGTGGGTCATCTATATAAAAATCACAGGATCGTAAGAGACGTGCACAACACAATCGCTCAGAAATAGCGCCCTCTATTTTCTTGTAACGTAATCTTAAATTAGACATCCTGTGTACGTTCAGAAATGTATTAAAATATCTTAGAAATATAAATTTTCCATTTTGATAAATTACATTAATGAGTTTACTTAGCGAGATTTGTATGATAATTTGTTGCTATAGCAGCCTCGAAATTAATGAAGATATACTGGGAATCCTATCTTGGTTGGCTGAATAATAGTTGCCGATTCTAGTCTTTACCATTAAAAAAAATAACAAATTTTATTCGATCAATATCTAATACTTCTGATTTTGTTATTGTTTAGTATGTAGTGAATATTTGAAAACGCGTTAATTTAAGTTAACTGAGCAAGTAATTAGTAAAATCTATCCATTTTCATATTCATGTCCGCGGACTAGCCTATAAGCGCGGGTGCACATTTAAATTTTTTAAAGTGTACAGTGGTTGAATAATGTTAAATACATAATTTACAGTTTAAAGAAATACTTTTTTTTATTACATTATTATGATACAACTCTTACTGACCGTACGTATTACATTAACAGTGAAGAAATAATATTGGTCGCGGGTCGCGTACTTAAACAATATTTTTCTCAACGTCACGTTAATTTTTCTCAAGGAAATATCGATTTTATCATTAAGGGATAAAGTTTGTTTTTCATCCCGTCTATTTGCTGTACTCAAACGATATTTCTGAACGTTATTTGCCAGCAGCTGTTTCCTCGAACTACCCAGCAAGAGCGCGAGGCCGCAAGCGACGCGTGCATTTTTTGTGTTATTAGCCGACCAAATGAAAAATTGACGCCCGTTGTGTCCATCGCGCTTGTTCTGCGCGTAATTTCATGAGCGAGAAAGAGAGCTCCGATATATTTGACATTTGTAACTCAATCGGTTATTAGGGGTAGTCTCAAAGACACGATTTGCCGCAATGGTTGATGGTTGAAAGATCACTTTCATTCAAAATCGTTCATTCATCTTCCTTGAAAAGTTGTATTCGCATGGTGTTAAACTTGCATTGTGAGTTCTAAAGTGGTTTTATTGTTAGTGTGATGCAGTGATATTGTGTGATAATGTCTGGATCCGACAAAAAGAGGTCTAGAAAGTCTAAATTGATACCGCGGTCGGAGAACGACGACGATATTAAATTGCAGGTACTTTCAACAGTTTCAACCATTTTGTTTCGGGCGATACCTACGCAAAAGTTAACACGCGTGGCTGTAATTAGAAGTACCTGCTTTAATTTGGAACATTAATGATTTATTATTAAATACCTTCACTTTTCTCTCATTTTCTAAATTACTGTATTCTTCTCTGCGGGTATCATCTTGCTTTTTCCGTATGACATTTGCACGATAAGACGTAGGTACCCTACCAAAATATAGGTTAAGTATCTCTGGTTATCTATAAATACAATCATGCGATTTAATTAAATGAAAAATACATTTTTTAATGAGAATAGTATAATAAATAAATGACACAACAGTGTAAGTGGTCTTAATTTAAGTCAAGGACGCATCTTCGAATTCCTTAAAAATCGTGGTTTTTGTTTTAAAGATCGTGATTTTAAGATTATTGTGTGGTTCTTACGTATGTATTAGGGTGAAATAGGTTTAATTACATTGCCAATGAAGTTAAGTGATTCCTTTGTTACAATTTTCGTTCTTATTTTACTGTATAAAATTAAGGATGCATGGTGCACCTTGTTTGAAAATGTAAATTTTTTGTACCAAGATTATAGAGTTACCTAGGTATTGTTAGGTATGTCTAATAATAGAAATACCTACCTTATCACACCATAACATAATTTTCAACTTTAGGATGTTCCAAATTGAAAATCATTTTTTGTATTTTATTTACTTTTTATTTAGTCCAGTCAATGAATGCCTTAACGACGGTGTAGAGAGAAATCCGTGGAACACAATTTCTGACCTCGGGACTTTATTTAGCCTAGTTCGGTGGTGAACATAGCAAAAGTCCCCGCCCTTAGCCCTTGAGCCGGCGGGGAGAGGGGGGTTTAAAGATACCACTTTTCGGTTTTTCGCTTAATCCTCGGAAACTATGCGTCCTAGTGACATGACTACTTTGAACCAAAAAAAGCATATTCAATTTGCTACAGGTGAGATAAACAAGTTTTTCTATAAATTGTATAGTTTTCGCGGCATCTGCTCTAGAAGGTCTGTAATATTGGAAATTTTATTTTTGTCTTACATGTTTCCATCAGGAGAAAATCGACTAAATCAACATTAAGCAATCATTCTAGACATGCGGGAGCATGTTAAGCCTAGTTCCAGGGAGGGGACTTCACCGTGCGTATATTTAGACGAACCACTTTGAGCCACTTTTGACTCCTCATCACTCAAAAACTACTGTGCATTAACACTTCAAATTTGGCTCATGTATTGAGACTTGCAAGATATACATCAGCTTCAAATTTCATAAATATACCTCAAACGGTTATTTAGGTATTGACGTTCAAAAATCGATATTTAGAGCACTAAAATCTATCTATCAACATGTAAGACAAAAATAAAATTTCCAATATTACAGACCTTCTAGAGCAGATGCCGCGAAAACTATACAATTTATAGAAAAACTTGTTTATCTCACCTGTAGCAAATTGAATATGCTTTTTTTGGTTCAAAGTAGTCATGTCACTAGGACGCATAGTTTCCGAGGATTAAGCGAAAAACCGAAAAGTGGCACCTTTAAACCCCCCTCTCCCCGCCGGCTCAAGGGCTAAGGGCGGGGACTTTTGCTATGTTCACCTCCTAACTAGTCTAAATAAAGTCCTGAAGTCAGAAATTGTGTTCTACAGTTTTCCATCTATAATGCTTTATTGACTGGACTAATTTATCCATTTCCATTTCTTCAACAATTTTTTGTATTTAAAGTCAATACTTTATATTTATCCATCTTAATTTCTTCAAGTAGGTCACTGCCTAGATTGCAACGGTAGTTGAAGAAATGGAATTACAAATGAATAGTAAAATAAATTAAATTTTGCCCTGGATCTCGTCTGTGATTTTTTCTGAAACAGAAAGATATTAAAAATCACTTAGTAATGATGTATCTTTTTAATGGTGAACTATTTTCAAATGGGTTCAAAAATTGTATAGATCTCATAAAAATTACATACTTCTGTAGAAATTAATTTTTCACTAAAACATTTTCAGGATGATCGTCAGGAAAAGAGAGCAGAATTAAACAAAAGAATGTCTCCAGACAGAAATCAACCATCGACATCGACATACAGGCCGATGCAGTTCGACGTAAAAATTGAAGTTGAAGAATGTGACGATGAGGAATTCTCTGGCACCATAACAAACTTTATTCCGGATGACCAAATCAAAACTGAAATTACGAATGAAAATGACTTATTTGAAGCAGAAGAACTCAAAACTGAAATTATCAATGAAAATGACTTATTTGAAGCAGAAGAACTCGATATCAACATGCTTTTATCGCGAGCACTGAAAATGAAAAAAGATAAAACGACTGGCAATAAAGATATTAATAACGTGTTATCTATTATAAACGATCATAAATATACAAATGAAGATGAAGCCCCCAAAACGAGCCGAATTCAAAAACCAACGTCGATCTACCATTTGCATTTGGAAGAGGATTATATTTTGGAGGCTATAGATGAGCTGAGTAAAGAGGATTTGTCTCCGGCAGACAAAATATTAGCAGTCGAATCGAAGAATCTGTGGGGTCGACTGAGGATGGTGGATGACACACCATCGAAGCAAGAAGCAAGAATCCAAATAGCGCTGAACTCTTGGAAGTACTGGAAAGTTACATGTAAGAGTGGATACCTCCCAAAGATGTACAAATGTTACATTTGCGAGAAAGCTTGGTGGCATCTCGGACCGTTCCAAGATCACATGAACATGCACGATGATAAGGAATTGAGAGTTGAGACTGAATCACAGGGTTTGGAGTACAACATCATTGCGTACAATCCAAAAGCGCCGCACGCTTTCAAAAGTTTCGAAACTGATACACACTGCTGGAAATGTGGTTACACGTACAACGAACATCCGACCGAAGAGACCAAGAACTACCCGTGCACCCACTGCGGTTTGTCATTTGGGACGTGCATAAAGTTGAAAAGACACGAATGTGATTGTCTTCCAAAGCTCAAGATCCTAGTAAAAAATGGTCCCATAGTGGTGTACTCGTGTAAAATATGTGACTTGAAAGTATTGTCCAAAGATTCCTTAGAGAGACATTACATGGACTACCACGACGTCAGATCGGACTTGCCGACGACGGTCGATGTTAGGACTTGCACGACTTGCTCTAAGAATTACATGGCGCTTCCGTTTCATTATTGCAACAAGAAAAATTACAGCGTCATGTGCACTTTCTGCAATAAAAGGTTTCCAAGCAAGGTTGCGTTGACCATCCATTTGAAGGAGAAAGACGATTATCCGTGCACTGTGTGTAAGATGGTGCTTCGCAAGAAATGCCAGGAGGCGGAGCATATGCTACAACACACAGACAAGTTCACAAGGCTGTACAAATGTTTGTCGTGTAAAGAGAACGTGATGTTGTTCAACGAAGACTCTACACGGAGACACAAAATAATCTGGCACAAGCAGAAAATCGACAAGAGGCGTAACTATTTCGAAATGGTATGTATTTTTATTCATAAACATTAAACAGTCATCATCATTAATCAGCCGTCCGCTGCTGAACAGGCCTCCCTCAGTGATTTCCACATCGCCCGGTTGGTAGCGGCCTGCATCCAGCGCCTTCCAGCTACCATTATGAGGTCTTGTACCGAAGACCTCATAATGGTAGCTGGAAGGCCGTAGTGGGTGGACGTCCCAAGCCGCTTTTTAATATTACTAGTTTTCGCGGCTTCGCCCGCGTGGAATTTTGTCTATCACAGAAAAACTTTATCGCGCGCGTCCCTGTTTCAAAAACCGGGATAAAAACTATCCTATATTCTTTCCTGGAACTCAAACTATCTCTATGCCAAATTTCATCAAAATCGGTTCAGTGGTTTAGGTGTGAAAGACAGACAGACAGAGTTACTTTCGCATTTATAATATTTTATCTCATTTTCCAGGTGTTGGCTCCCCGGAAATTCATCGAGGCGCAGACGGTTGAAGAGATGGACGCATCCTGTGGCATCAAAAGGAACTTGGTCAAAATGAACGACAGTGACTTCCAGATGAGTATGAAAGAAGATGACCCGGTGACGGAAAGACTTAGAAATACAGGTTAGTAAGAATATAATTTATAGGTCGCGCAGCGAAAGTTGAGGCAGAGTAAATACAAATGAGTAGGTCATCTTCATAGAAACGCACCGAGCGCGGTTTGTCCCCGCTAAATTTTGTCAGTGTGTGCGTGCGCCGCATACGTATTGGCGCGCTCACATACAAACCGACGTCCCTTCCGGTTACGGCGTTTGACAAGTGAAGTGCGTTATAACCTGCGTCCCAAAGTTTTAAAGTAAATCGACACCAAAACTTTTCGATTCATCCCTAATATCAGTGAACTTCATAGTTAAACACTTGGACGATCTGAGGTGACGTGAATTTTACGAAAATATTCAGGATTAAACGTGAAAAAGTGTGAAAAATGAAGCTAACGTTAAACATCTCCATAGCTATAAACATAACCTAACCACCAAACAACTTCCGTCAGCTGACATTGACAGCCAGTGACAGACCAAATACCATAGACAACGACAAAAAGTTCACGGCCTTGGACATTAAGTGTTACCAGCTTCTGAAATTTTAACTGATTGGTAGAAAATGGATACCCAATTGGAACTTTTACTTAAACAAATAAATGAAAACCTTAACATGAAAATTAACGAAATAAAGGAAGAATTTGCAACACAAACAAACAATCTGACCACAAACTTGTTATCAAGCATAGATGAAAAGCTGAATCCTTTGATAGGGGAAAACAACAAACTGAAAAATGAAGTGGAATCCCTGCAGAAACAAGTTCACCATCTGGAAAGGGAAGTGAGGAAGAATAATGTTATAATACACGGTGTAGAAGAAACAGAGAAAAACAATACTGAACTCCTTATAGTGGTTCTAGACATCCTCAACGAAGTTGTAAAGGATGTGGAAGCTGAAGGATTTGATAAATGGGAAATCAGTGAAGTGCGGAGGCTGGGAAAAAAGGAAAATGATAAAAGACGACCTATCCTGCTAAAACTGACATTGGCCTGGAGAAGAACTGTAATCTTAAAAAACAACAAAAAATTCCCTAAAAACATGTATGCTACTGAAGATCTTCCTAAAGAAATATTAAATATCAGAAAAGAACTCAAGATAAAACAGCAGGAAGAGATGAAGAAGGGGAACCTAGCCCTCATTCGCTATGACAAACTCGTAGTCTTAGAAAATCGTAAACAAAACGAAGTTACATTCAGTGGAAAAGCAAAACCTCTTGAACGAGAAAAAGCCTACGTCGAAAACAAGAGAAAGAGATCCCCTACAAAATCTCCCCCTACAAGTGGACCAAAGGGAAATAAGACTGGGACGGCAGCACCTAAGAAAATTAACAAAACCTACGATATTTTTTGCCACACAACTACCTCAGACACCAACCGCTGATCCAAAAATTACTACAAGTAACGACTCAATCGGAAGCTCAACAACTACAAAAAACGAAGTCATATATGTACAATGTGCGAAACAACAGGTTCGCGAATCGGCGTGCCCTAACAGGAAATCAGACCTTCATCATACAAACATAGATAAACCTAGCAAAGTGATCCAATTACTGCAACCTTTAACTCTTCATTTGTTATGCCATTTCATGTTGCCGCAGTTACTGGATTTAATGTTGTTTATTAATTATTCTATGTTCAACTCGTTCTTTCCGATTCTATTACTCACTATTATTAATGGAACTAATTATTTTACTACGTTATACTCACTACACTCAAAACACACACACCTCTCTAAACATATACTTCACAAAAAACAGACAAATCCTCATGAACACACACCCCACAAAAAATACTTACGCGTACTATCCACAAGAATTCCGTTAATTACCCTAATCTTTATTAACCTTCAACTAGTCAAAGTCGCATTTCAAATCAATCTTACCATCATATTTCTTTTTCGCTATAGAGCCTTGCCTACCAACGAGTCAGATCTAAAGAAACTTAAATTAACTATCCACCACCCCAGGTCTTGCGTGAGTCGCGACCTGTTTTCACAATTTATCCCTAGTTTATTATGATCCCTAACTTAGAATCTATACATTTAGATCTGGACTCTTTATCAGTAGCTCAAGCTCTCCACTGTGACATTGACGACGCATCTAATATCATAAAAACAAATGAATGTTCTCTAAATATTGTCTCTCAAAATATTCGAAGCATCTCATGCAATATGCCTAATTTTCTAACACTGCTACAGAGATCTAACATTGCTTGGGATGTTTTTTTTTTTTTTTTTTTTATGCTAGCCAAGGCAGGTATTTGACCGCAATCGCACCTGGTGTTAAGTGAGATGCAGTCTAGGATGGTACATATCTGCCCTGTAAGTGCCTATTCACTCTCGCCTTGAAAACGCCCGGATTATAGTGTTCAGGAAATACAGCAGCAGGCAGCGAATTCCAGTCCCTAGCTGTTCGCATTATAAAGGAGTCGTCGAAACGCTTAGTTAACTATGTGATTGTTCTTTCTGAGTGCTGGCTACCATCAACTGGGTACATACCTACTCTTAATAATTACAATAACTTTTCTACTACACGGAATAAAACCCAAAACGAGGGTGTCGTCTTCTATTACAAAAGTGACCTAANAAGCATCTCATGCAATATGCCTAATTTCCTAACACTGCTACAGAGATCTAACATTGCTTGGGATGTGATTGTTCTTTCTGAATGCTGGCTACCATCAACTGGGTACATACCTACTCTTAATAATTACAATAACTTTTCTACTACACGGAATAAAACCCAAAACGAGGGTGTCGTCTTCTATTACAAAAGTGACCTAATTGTTTCGATCGAAGAACCGCCGATAGATGATGCAAATTGTCTCTTACTTAAACTGAATTCAAATACCTGCATTATTGGCATATACAGACCTCCTAGCTATCATAACTCATCTAACTTTGTTAACTCATTGGATGCACTTTTGACTAATCTATCCTGCTTCAAAAACATAATTATATGCGGTGATATAAACTTGGACATAACTGAAAATAGCCCTGACAAACGCTCATGTGAGTATTTAAACGTTCTCGCTAGCCACGGCATCCTGCCTGCCCATACATTTCCAACCCATGGCAAAACATGCTTGGACCATATGATGCTCAGAACTAGATTGCGTCCCGCGTGTTTAGTTTTTGAGACATCAATCACAGATCATGAGTGCGTGGCAATTAGCTTTCCCAACAACATACAAATTCCACATTGTAACAAAATCCTTCACCGCATCGACTACGCGAGCCTGGATAAAGCCCTCAATAAGACTAACTTTCAACCAATCCTAGACTGTAAAGATACCAACAATGCAACGGACATGTTTGTGAANGAGACATCAATCACAGATCATGAGTGCGTGGCAATTAGCTTTCCCAACAACATACAAATTCCACATTGTAACAAAATCCTTCACCGCATCGACTACGAGCCTGGATAAAGCCCTCAATAAGACTAACTTTCAACCAATCCTAGACTGTAAAGATACCAACAATGCAACGGACATGTTTGTGAGCTGCATAACGAAGGCCATAAATGATAATACCAAACCAATTAAAACGTCCTGTAGGAAGTGAGCTGACAAACCCAAAGAGCNACAAACCCTGGATCACAAAAGGGCTCTTACGTTGCATGCGGAACAGAGACAATCTCTATAAAAAACTGAAAATGAATCCTAACGATGACACTATCAGAACCACCTATAAGCGCTACAGAAATTTCTGCTGCTCGCTTCTTAAGAAAGCAAAAAAGAACCATGAAAAACAAGAAATTGAACACGCAAAAAACAACAAAAAGAAACTATGGGATGTCATAAAACAAATAAGTTGTCCTTCTATGAGGGCAGACCACTCCGAGCAACTAATCAAGAACAATAACCCTGATTCAAGCCTAAATGAAGTTAATACCTTTTTTGCTAACGTTGGAAGGAAACTCGCGGAGAAGATCACCCCAGGTCCAGTCCATCAAACTCCAAACCCTAGTAATAATACCTATCTTTCTTCTCCAATTAACTCTTTTGTTATGCTTCCCGCGGATGAATGGGATATCTACCGATTGATACTAGGGCTAAAGGACAAATGTGCGGTGGGTTTTGATCAGATCTCGAGTGGAATTTTAAAAAGATATGCGGATCTTTTTACACCAATTATTACACACATTTGCAATCTTGCTATCTCAAAAGGTGAATTTCCATCAGCTTTTAAAACGGCACTAATTAAACCCATACACAAGGCAGGGGATAGAGACTGTGTCAATAACTATAGACCTATTTCCCTGCTTTCCACGCTGTCCAAAGTCCTTGAACGGCTTATGAACAATCAACTCATAAAGTACCTCGAATCCAACAACCTGCTTTCCCCTTCCCAATTTGGGTTCCGACAGGGTAAGTCCACCAATGATGCGGTTCATGAATTGGTCGATTCGATTGTTGGGGCTCTGGATGGTAAAAGGAAATGCCTAACGATCTTTCTAGACTTAGCGAAGGCGTTTGACACGGTCTCTATCCCCAACCTACTTGTAAAGCTGGAGAGAATGGGGATGTTGCCTGGGTCAAAAAGCAAGAGTTTTAATTAGTCCGTCAGTTAACTTATCAAAAAATACTCTACACGTATTTTTCACTTTTTCAAACTAATGAAAATTTAAAGAGATAAAGCGCCCCAAAGTTCATAAGAAGAGGCCCGTGACGTCAACGCTTGCTTAAAAATGCCGCACGTTGTGACGTCGTGCGCAACTTCAACGCACCATAACTATGTAATTATTTGTTAGATTGACAAATAAAAATATACGTGTCCAATATTTTTTGATATTAAACATTACGGACTAAAAATATTTTTTTAGGCAACTAGCCTATTGGAGTCAGAGGCCTTCCACTCAGGCTGTTCGAAGACTATCTAACAAATAGAAAGCAGCGTGATAAAATTGGTAGTCACATTAGCGAAGAGCTTCCCGTGATGTTTGGTGTGCCGCAGGGTAGCATACTCGGACCAACCCTGTTCTTGGTCTACATCAATGACCTTTGTCAGCTGTGTTTGGACAA